AGGAGTGGTTTGACTGTGTTCTTTGTACAATCAAAGAGAATGGTATCCTTCAGGAGGATATCTATAACTTTGATGAGACAGGCTTTGCAATGGGCCTCACAGCAACTGCTAAGGTTATTACTTGATCTGAATACTATGGTCGGCGCTCACTTTTACAACCTGGAAATCGCGAGTGGGTTACAGCCATTGAAACAATTAATGCCTCTGGGTGGGTGCTTCCACCAGTGATTATCTTCAAGGGCAAGGTCCTTATTAAAGGCTGGTTCGATGATCTCCCATATGACTGGCGCTTTGAAACAAGTCCAAATGGATGGACTACTGATGAAATTGGACTTCGATGGCTTCAAAAACACTTCATTCCAGCGACAACTAGTCGTACACATGGGAAATATCAACTTTTAATCCTTGATGGCCATGGGAGTCATTTAACTCCTAAATTCGACCAAGTTTGCAAAGAGAACAATATTATACCAATTTGCATGCCAGCACACTCTTCACATCTTCTGCAACCACTTGATATTGGGTGTTTTGCTCCTTTAAAGCGTGCGTACAGCCGGCTAGTTGAGAACCAGATGCGGCTTGGGTTCAACCATATTGACAAGTTTGACTTTCTTGCCGCCTACCCAATTGCTCGTGTGGAAGCTTTCCAATCTCAGACTATTCAAAATAGCTTTGCAGGAGCTGGTTTAGTGCCATATAACCCAGAGTGAGTGCTTTCAAAGCTTGATATTATACTCCAAACACCATCACCCCCGGGTAGTCGTCCAATAAGTCAATCAAGCCAGTTTTCACCAAAGACACCTCAAAATCCTATACAACTTCAGCGGCAGGCTAGTTCAATTAAGGCTTTGCTAAAGCAGCGCTCAAGAAGCCCTCCAAGCCCGCTGAAGCAGCAAATCAACCAAGTTCTCAAGGCCTGTGAGATCCAAATGCATTCAACTGCTCTACTAGAGGTTGAAGCACGCAAATTACATGCTGCCCATGAGAAGCAGAAGCAAAAGCGCCGACGATCTAATAGACAGATACTAAATGAGGGTGGAATGACTGTTCAGGAGAGCCAGCAGATCATACAGCATCCTATAGAAGCAATTGAAGCACCAAGACCCATCCCTGCAGAAGCACCAATTTCACCTAATTTGCCAGTTCCTGCGAGAAGGAAGCTACCAAAATGTAGCATATGCGGACAGGAAGGACACAGGTCAAACCATTGCCCTCACAGATAGTTCTTTACCTAATATACTGGCGTTAATGTGGTTAAAAATGCGTTCAAAAGAGTAGGGTAGGCGGTAGGGTGGCGGGTCGCTTGGGGTGGCGGGTCGCTTGGGAAATACGTTATCCCATTCATGATTTGACCAAGCACTTATCCCATAAATTTACCCGTACACCCCAAAATACACTGTGTAGTTACAACGATCCCAACCCAACATCCTAAATATGATAGATCCCACCACCCCCCAACTCCCCCCGATCCCGCAACCCATTCAAATTTTCCCTCGCCCTCCTCCCCACCTCCGCCCCATACACTTCCAACGGCGGCAGTGGGCCCGACATATCCTCCTTCCCCACCTTCAACCAAATAACAGGATCAAGGCCGCGACATGCCTCGCGCATTGAGTCCATATCTTCCATGCTATACCCACCGCCAACCAAGACAGCTACAGGCGTGGCCGTCGGGGCCGTGGCACCCAGGGAAACGGAAGCAGTAGTATCACCACCGCGGCGGAGGAAGGCGGGGATGTCAAGTGTGCCCGCTTGGGGGGATGATATGGAATGGATTACTATTTTTTTGGGGGGGGGGGGTTACCAGTCAATTAATTAATTGAATTAATCATGCGATTAAGGTCATGATATACGGAGTACAGTGAGGCTTGGTTACGGGGTGATTGAGGGAGGAAGGGATTTACCATCATAGTCAGGCCGCAAGCCGGCGGTTACGGCTGAAGCGACGCGGGGGCTTTTTCCGCAGATCAGGATTGGTAAAGGGGTCTTTGGGGTGGAGGTAGAGGAAATGGAGCGGATGAAGTGGGGTAGGCGGGATTGCATTGTAACACAGTGGACGTAGAACGGAGTAGTAAATAGTGGTAATTGCTACTCAGGACTGTTAAAGAATGAATGTTTAGATTGATGCAATGCAGGAATACTCTAGTCCGAGCTGACAAACGCGGAGGCTGAATGGCCGAATGTATGACTTCTCCCATCCATTACATGACATTTTTGCAACGTATCGTGTAATGAATTCCCTACCAAATCCCCGGAATCAGAGAATACCGAACGCGGGATTTGATCTGCTTGTACGCATCGCCGTACTGGAACATCATTGGTCAGTAAACATCAGGACGAGCCAGAAAGAAAACTAGGCTTACTCTTTGCGTCATATACTCTTCCAAAACCGGAACCCCGCGGAATGCGAAATCATAGAAGAAGAAACCAAAAGTCGTCGCTGCCCAAGCAAATCCACCACATACCATTGCATACCCAGCTCGCCAAACAGCGTAGCCTCCGTAGTTGATGTTGGTAGCTAGTGAGAACAACCCCCCGCCGTAAGGCTTTCCTTGATTCTTGGGATCCTGCTTGAAACCCTTGCGCTGGAACTCCGAGACTGCTTCGACCAGCAGACCAACTGTGTAGGCACCCAGTCCGACTGCAACCAACGGAGAGGAAGAGAAAGTATCGGTCAAAGTGCCCAATTCAGGAACCGAAGAAACCGGCGACGTCACCGCCCACAGCGAAAGTAAGGTATTCACGGTGTTATAGATAGTATTGAAAGCGGGAATAGCAACACCAGATCCAAGGCTCATGGACTGCTCAGAGACAAAGATGATGTGGATGATTTGCTTCACGCTGCTACCAATAGACAACAGACTAACTAATCCGTAGTAAGGCTGTAGACGGGTGACGGATAAAGGGTTGAAGACGTGTAAAGGCGACACGGCCTGGCCACCAAGTTTCTCGATCAGACGGAGGCCCCATCCTCGTGTGAGAAGGTTGTATTGCCAGAAGACGTCTGCTGCGCGGAGGCCCACGAAGAGGGATTTTCCAAGGGGCGAGGGCTCCTTGATGCGGGAGACATTGTCGCGGAGTTTGCCGGACATGGTGGGATGTATGATTTTTGTGCAATGGATGTCTGGAGAGGGAAAGGGGAGGATTTATACATCTGTGGAGAATTGAAATTGAATTCAAGGTTGTCGATGATGATGCAACGTCATATTGATTATCCAGGGTTCCGGGATCGGAGTCAAAATAGTGCCCGAAGGGCCGAAACATTATTGATTTTATTTTCAACAGTAATTTTCGCACTCTTTAGCAGTAGATCCCCAATTACATAGTAATTGGATATTTCTATCGACGGAGGGTAGATATGTGGTCTGAATATTAAATGAGTTTCCTGTTTTTATGTATATTTTGATTGTCAGGGGTATTAGAAGCAGGTTGCATGAGTTATGTGATTTTGTTATAATAGAATAAAGATTGGATTGAGTATGTCTTTATTGTGTATCGCACCGACAGGGTATAATATCTCATTTTATTTACTTAACGGAATGATATCCATAAACCATGACTTTAAGTCTTCAATCCATAAGGCGTCTCAACAAAAGATCCGGGTCATACTCTGCAGCCCGTCCTTCAGACTCCATAGCAAGATATCCAGGGGCATAGAACTCGACATCATCAGCAAAGATGGGGATAGTCGATTTGTATTCCCCGATAACATGGCCGCGGTTGCCCTCGAAGCGATGTAGTAGAATGAGCAGTTTGATCAAGCGGGCGCGGTTCAGGGGGTGGTGGGCATCTACCGGTGTTAAGATGACAAGAGGCGATGAGGGCTGGCTGGTGAGATGGGTTTAGATGCGGGTGGATAGTCTTTGGGGGAATTCGGTAATGAAGCCCGATCATGATAAGACTATCTTATTAGAATAATAGCCTCATTGATGAAATGGAAAAGTTGAATAGATGGACATACATCCCGAAAAGGCTGGTCGGCCGACGTCCATTGCTGGACTAGAGAACGGCGTTGGCGGACATGCGACCCTCTGGATGGACGAGAATGGAGGGGGGGGGGGGGATTCCACCGGGCCAGTGCTGGATTGTTCCGGACATTGTATTATATAGTATAATTTTATAATGAATAACAAGGATAAAAGAAGAGATGAAAGAGAATAGATGAGAATAATACTATCTTGAAGGAAGGATAAATGTCGGTTGGCGGACCGAAGAGCAGTACTCGCTAGTTGACCCACTATCCACGATTAGCATCCGAACATTATAGCCTCAAGGAAAACTCATCAGTATCCATAATTGCTGCAGCAATCGCCAAACTCAGACCCCGTGCACACCCAGCCGTTGTTTCTCGACCCACACAGTCCGTTCTATGTATTCGTTGAGTTCGTCGGCGGAGGTGATGCTGCAGTAGGCCAATGCCTGCTCGCAGAGGGTGTATTTTTGGGTGAGCTGGTAGTTGGTGGCATTGTATGTGGCTGTTGTAGTGGTGATGGAGGGGTACGAGTAGAAGAAGTGACTGGTATGTTAGCAGATATTCATATATGGACACGAGAACATACGTGGTAGTCCGATTGACCGTCCGAGTGACATTTAGATTCATCGTGCTGGCCATCCCATAATACTTGAAGATCTCACCTAACGCAAAGATAGTCACCAACAAAAGCATCAACATTGGAGCAGTCTACATTGATGCTGGGATTCCACGATCGAAAGGTGGCTGTCGACACCGTATGGCCCAGAGAATCCACGATGGAGGTACATGTCTCGTTTGCCTTGACTTCATGAATGGCACACTGAGAAGGCAGACAGAATACCTGGTTTGCCTGGAGATAATGCATGCTTGGCCTGATCGACGGCCGCTTCCACCTCCGCCAATTGCAGCAGACCGGTAACGGGTGTCACATGAAACTCCTTCCGTACCGTAATGTCGTCGTCGATATCACCGGCATGATCGCATACGACCTCGCTTGTGTTGCATTGCATACACCCGGTATGCTGTTATTCGAAAGGTAAAAAAGCTTATCTCTAGGAAGGAGATTTACCTCCAATATATGGAGTGCTCATTTTGGAAGATTCTGGTTGCGAGATAATACATAATCTCTGAGAAACAGCAATAAGAATTGATGTTGAAGGAAAGGGATTGCAAATCAGGTGAAGGACGGGACGGGCCGGGGCGTTCAGCGGGCCATTGCTGCAGATTCCCCACAGCTACTTGAAGAATAGAATCGTCTCTGCACGGCATTATTGCTGCAATGAGAAATGCATATTTATGTATCTGCAAATTGAACTGTCTCTTAATTCATTTATTTCCGTCCCATGTCACCATGGCCATCTCACGAATACAAGAATGGTTCAAAGGCATACTTAGAGAAGGTTAAGTCTTCGAGCATGTTACCTACATTCCTTACCAGCTTTCACAATAAGGCCGAAGATCCAGTTCATGCGTAAACGAGGTCTTTGTCTGCGTATGCAAATACCAATATGCCTCCGCAATCTGTACCAATGGTTAAATACCAGCACACATTCTCGCGAGGAGCAGACACTCACTTGATCTGGGCTAATCTTAGACCCAGGCATTTCCTCATGGAAGCCTTTTGTTTGTTCCGTGTCAATGATGCCATCTACTATAGCATGCGCCACATGAATACCCTTGGGCCCGAATTCGCGGGCTAGCGACTGTGCCATCGCTCGAACGGCAAATTTGCTCATGGCGAATGAACCGAGTCCATTGCCTCCTTTGAGGGCGGCAGTTGCTCCTAGAAGATACCATTAGTAATTGTTCTTAATAGTCAATAATTGGATAAAAGGATTGAGGTACCAGTGAAAATCAAAGCCGGCGGATGCGACTGCTCATTGGAACCAGAGCCAAGCATCAACGGCAGCACCGCTTGACTGAAATTGTAAGCCCCGTTGACAGTGGCCTGGAGACTCCCCAAATATTCCTCCGGGGTCGAATCCAAAAACCCCTTGCGGGTGAATTTGCTGGCCATATTAAAAATAGCCGCGGCAACGCGCACATCCTTGCCCAATTGTGCCTTGGTATCCGCCACAGCGCGGTTCATGCTCGAAATATCTGTCACGTCTGTTGGGAACGCTAGCGCGGACCCGTTGTTCTTCTGGATGTCGCGAACCAATGGGTCCAGTGAGGCCTGGGAACGTGCTAACAGTACGACAGGATACCCACGGGCAAAGCGGCGCGCAATTGCTGCGCCGGTGCCTGGGCCTGCCCCGGCGATGATGGCGATTGTTTTTGGGGTTGTGGGAGACATTGAGAAAGTTGGAGGCTTGGATTATAACTGAAGTGGATTGATTGAACGTCGTGGTGGTCTTATAAGTTCGTATGACGTCGACGGATTACGGTAATCCGGGGTATCAGATTCGGACTCCGAGTTAATAACACCGCATCATGGAAAGATAATAATTAATAATTTGAAATATATCTGCCAGTATATAAGTCTATAGAGCAATGGTTCGTAGTTTGTAATAGCCGCTGACCCCAGGCAAGGATAGATTACTAGATCCCATTTCAATTCTATAATTTCTGCAGTTCTTCCTCTACCCGCGTGACCATGCCTACACTCCTATCAAGAATACTAAAGAGGATGGGATTGGAGGTAGTACACATTGTTGTTATCCGCCACTCTCGCCAAGGCGACTGACGGATCTTCCAACCCTCCTTTCCTCAAGATTACTGGACGGTCAGTGGAAAACCGGAATGTCAAGTTTGGGTGCTGATTTTTACTAGGATATCACTGCGACCGTTGAAGATGAATGAAACTGTCAATAGCCTCACAGATCTGACTCGCAGGTCACTAGCAGTGGTTACTCTATACAAGAGATTGAGTGGCGGAATGGTCCTGGATGGTCCACAAGGGCATGAAGCATGACCGGTTTAAGAACCTGGCCAATATAGTTGAAGAAATCAATGTTACTTTGGTTGTTAGAGATTGTGAAACAACAGGAAATTACTGACGTACCTAAGAAGAACCCGAGAAGATAGATCATGTTGAACTCTGGCAGATCGTAGAGCCCGAATAAGCCATTGGAGAATCCCCATATGTAAGACTTAGCCCGTTCGGCAGCTCGAGGGGCACATTTTTGGCCGTTTTTAATTCTCCCTTATCAAACTGCAGTGTTATACAGTCGCCAAGCCAAGCATGGTCTGGCGATTCCCACTCTATCATTATTTTTAGTACCCAGGTAAAGTGTTGGAAAGCTATCACAAATTTTTCACCGGCATGCGGTGGCATCAGGCGGCAAGTACCGTGGGCAATCTTCCTAATTGGATTCATCCAGTTGTTCGGATCTCTGTACCTGAATCAGACTGGGTATTGTGACAAAGGTTTAGCCATTCATTACCTGTTCATTTCCGTTGTGGTCCAGAGAATCGGGTAATGCTAGATGATCGGTTCTTTTGACAAGGATGATGTAATGATATACATACTGAGATCTCTACTAGCCCTCACGTTTCTTCATTACCCCTGTCCTTTATATCTGGAACCTCGAAGGCATTGAGATGCAACATAGCACGTCAGCGTTTCTATTATAGGTTCCTATTGCTGCACTGTTACATCACACTGCTACAAGTGTTCGAGAAGAGTATGATCTACCGTGCATTTTCAATCAAGAAGTCACCGTCAAACAAACTGCAATGCGAGATGCCAATCACAATGATGCATATGACCGGTTTCCAGTCGTAGCAGGACAGAGATCTGCAAGCACGTATGTGGGTCAATGTGATTTTGGTATGCAGCTTTGTCGGGCTGCAATGGAGTGGCCCTAGTTGGTAAATCTCAACTACGCAGATCGACAGTGTTGATGACCACTCTACCTATCGAACAGAATGATCCAAAAAAGAACTGAGGCCCCCAGATATCGTGGCCTTCAGCTGAAAATATCGAAACCAATAGTTCTCCCGATTGATTCGTAGAATGGAGATCATGCAACCGTCTAATCAGGCTCAGCCACCAGTTCTTCTGTGGCATGTACATTCATTGGTCCTGTTTGGATCGCTGGTTAAGCTCCCTGGTGAGCCATCTCTGCTTTTGTACTGTAATGGCCTCCGTCCGGGTTCTCTGGATGAAAGCCAGAGAGATCTCTTTTGGACCCCTTCCTGGAGGCTTACCAACTGCTTGCTTTGCTGCCTGGTCAGCTCTCTCATTTCCTTCTACCCCTGCGTGTCCCGGAACCCACTGGATGATGGGTTGGTGACCTTGGGTGTGTAGTCTCTTGGCTATAACATGTGCTTGGATTACCAGTGCTTGACCTGGCCCTGGCTGGGTATGTTGCAGCCTTTTAATGGCGGCTTGGGAGTTCAGCAGGATAGTGACTGGTCTCTGATCCCCTGCCTTCCATGCTACCTGGAGTGCTTGTACAACTCCAAGAAGCTCTGCATCAAAGACCTCGTACCCCTTGCCCAATGGGAATCCCCAGGTTTTCCAAGCTCCTCCTGGTTCTTGCCATGCCAGTCCTGCTCCGCATCTGCCATTCTCTAATCTTGAGCCGTCTGACCAGATTGCCATTCCAGGAGAAAGAGCTTGTGCAGCTGCTAGGGCCTCTGGACCTGGTAGCACTTCTATTCAGCCTGGGAACTGGCTACTGGTCGTCTGTATTGTGCTTTCAAAACCCTCGGATGGGTCCGCTGGTAGGATATTGGCTAATTGTCAAGCGAGGTGTTGTACCAGGGACCATGGGCCTTGGTTGCTTCTAGAGTTGCATTCGGCGCGGATTGGTGTGGATTAAGCCGCAAAAGCCGCACTAGAGCCAAAATAGGAAGGTACTAGGCAATATATGGCTAACTAGTTAGTCTCCATGCTTAATCACCACTCAGTATCACCCTTACAATCGCATGCTCAGCTTATCATATTGATATTTCAAGCCATCTATATAGTAAATATATCGATTTCTTATTAAATATCTATTATATGTCCATCATATACCCCTATATAATAATATATATACATATCGATATCTATATGGAGGTGGGTTGTGGTTTGATGGTCATATTCTTGCTTTGATAGAAAAGTGGCTGTATGTCCGAGAGTTCTTGCTTCACCCAAATTTGGTGCACTTCATGCACGAGCGTAGGCATTATTCTGAATCGCAGAATCTTGGTAACGGAATTGTAGTGAGCTCTAGCATTATCTGAATTTCTGATGATGATACGATAGAGCGCAAGGTGTTACCTAGGATGAAGTTTCTCTACCTGGGGGTCGTTATCGAATGAGTCCAGAATCAAGTTCGCGTCTTCGGGCTCCACGTCTGCGAAAACAATATCTTCAAAAAGGGCTCTCGCTTTTGAGACTGCTCGATATATAGTGCATAGATAGACCTCAAAGTTTTTCATGCGCCAAAGGCTGGCTTTCATTAAAACACTTGCTCTTTGTATGCAAGATCATGACACTTAGAGAATACGATGCTCGAGCACTTCAGGCAGTGGTCTTCATGTATGAGCATGGTTACGATAGCAGCAATCGCAGTTGTGTCTCGGCCTCGGGTTATAATATCAAGGTATCAAATCAGACAAGCTTTTCGAGACGCAGACGAAACCATAGGGACTAAAATTTGCAACATACGCGCAATCGTGGTCGGAGCGATGTTATATTCTACAACGTGGTCATCCTGGCAACTACATGGGGTGAGTCATCATTGGGGAATCCTGTGAGCGAGGTGTGATAGATTGCACACGACCAATTCCAGCTGATCACAACTACATATACCTTCGGGGCGGCAACGACCGAAGCTTACTATATGCCATTGAATGTAAAGCTGCACATAAGCTTCCTGATTCTCTCCTCCGGGCGAGTCTCTAACCAATGGGCATGTTAAATCAAAGGAAAAGCTTCGCTAAGATTCCATGGCTCTCTCGTGCGGCTGCTACAACCAATTTAAGATATGACTATAACAGGTCTTGGGTAACAGTGCTAGTGCATACACACAACGGCATCGCGTTTAGGAGGTCGACAAAGTCAAAACATCCAGTCTCGTTTGAACGGATCCATAGGCCACCAAAAATCAACCGTATTTTCGCCCTTGGAACCAGCACTATCGCGTACGCCGCTATCCTCTTGTGCGACAGCGTTCGCCGCGAAGGGAAAGGCAGCACAGATGGATGGCTTGGTGTACATAGCCATGTCCAGAACTGCAGCAGCCTTGCACACCCGCTAAGCAGTCAGCTCTGACTGCTTGAGTTCAAACTGCCCAGTGTGAAAGAGGAGGCGTGCGGCATGGATGGAATCGATTTCTGCCAATTCAAAACGCTGAAATCGCTCTCACCATCTTATCTGCTAACTGCGGATGTTCTGCTAGACTTTATTCTGTCGCCTGTAAAATTATCTAGGCCGATCAGCCTCATATCGCCAGCACCATACGATGCGGCAAAGCATTGTGAGGGATTGCGGTGATAGGTGTCAAGTCTTACTAAAGTATCAGTGTTAGCCCTTGGTAACACCTGCAAGGAGCTACAACACTGGCAGGCCCGGCGAAGTTTGTCCCATGTGTCGTGGATGGAATTACTAGGAAGAACGGGGAAAAACATAACTGATTCCTGACACCTTATGGAAACACTAATCCTTACTTGCCCTCTAATTTACAGGAATAGGCCTTGCTATGTCTTTCCTAGAGTGATACCTTCACTCATTACAATATCCGGAGGACTAGAATGCGAGAAATGAGAGATCACAGCAATAAGTGAATCAATCACTACCCAAAAATGCGAAACCGGCCACGAAAGTGATACAAAATCTCAGTACAGTAACACTCTCCAATTCCAAATGTTCAGACTCATAGACATAACTCCTTACCTCAACCTGATATCAAAATCACCCCCATCGGCAGTTGTCTCCTCCAACCATTACCGACGTCTCGCCAACACCACCACCCACCACATTTCCATTCTCCGCCTCCTTTAATTGATCATCAGCATCAATTACCTATACATTCCATTTTCGGAAACCGCAGACACGAGTTCTAGGATATGTTTTGGGGGTGAGGAGATTGTGTGGTTGGAGGTGGGTATCGGCAGATGAGCGGCGACCACAACAGCCGGGCGAGGGCGTTGATATGGAACCAGAATCCTCGAGCACGCACGGGGTTTACCGAGCGGCGAATACGGGGGCAAGGATTATGGATTATATTGGCGTGTGATGATCGTATTTCTTTTTTCTTTGTGGATTGAAAATTGGTTCTACTTGTACAGACTGTAGTATGTTGAATGAATGCTGTATAGTTGAAGTTGAGTATGTATGCCCGCAGCCGAGCTGCATAACCACAATAGCAGTAACTCGGAGACAACCCTCGAAACAAGAAATTTTATCAATGATAGGCCAAGACGGAGACCGGAATAGGAAAAATAAGAGGACCTATTCGTAACCCTGTCCAGGATTGCCATGGGATGTGGAGAAAAGGTTTTTCTGCCGCCGTTCCGTTCGTTGAGCTAGTTATCCACGGGGTTCGGATATATAGTAGTAGCTTGACCTGTCTTCAATTCTTCTTTCTTTAGTCTTAGTCTGTAGATTCTTGTCCGGGCGAAATTCTCCTGTTGTAGTGAGGACATTTGTTCCTTTTTCTTTTCCTCGGATCTTGCTCTGCTCCACTGCTTCGGGAAACTGTTCGCTTTCTTGTGATACGATACTTTGATCGCGAGGTAATTAATTGCGCTTTCGACATGGCTTTTCCGAGAGCGAAGATGCCTCTTGAGGTTGTTGTGGTTGGGTGAGTTTGCCGTATCCCGATTATTGATCTGATGCTAATTTTTATCTAGGGCCGGTATGCACACCCTTTTCCGAGATGTAAGCACTTGCTCATGAGTCGCAGGTATCGGTGGTATGGCCGCTGCCCTGACACTGGGTATGCGTGGACATAATGTCACGATTCTTGAGGCTGCGCCAAAGGTATGCATGCAATACATCTAAGTAAGATGTGTATGCAGAGATTAACATCCATAGCTCGCCGAAGTCGGTGCGGGTATCCAAGTTTCCCCTAACATGTTGAGACTCTTCGACAGTAAGCACTACCCCTCTCTCTGCCTGAACTCACAGCTAAAAGTGCCAGAATGGGGCATCTCCGACCTAATCCACGCCCAAGACGTCGGTCTCGAGCACATCCACGTGCGCCGTTGGCAAGACGGCACCTTCCTAAACACAATGCCCGTCAACAAAACCTACGGCCAACAAGCAGTCATCCACCGCGCAGACCTGCACAACGCACTCATCGACCGCGCTCTAGCCCAACCCACAGTCACCCTCCGCGAAAACTCCCTCGTAATAGACGTAACCTTCGACCCCCCATCCCCATCCGTAACCCTTGCCAGCGGCGAAATCGTCCAGGGTGACATCGTGATCGGGGCTGACGGGATCAAATCTGGTATCCGCGCGAAGTTGCTCGAAGACAATAGTATCAAAGCGCAGCCGACAGGCGATGCTGCGTATCGGATTATGCTCGAGCGGAGTGTTATGGAGGCGGACCCGGAGTTGAGGGGGCTTATTCAGGAGCCGCAGGCGACGAGGTGGATTGGGCCGCATAAGCATGTTATTGCGTATCCGTTGCGGAAGCATGAGTTGTATAATGTTGTATTGATTCATCCGGATCGGCATGGGGTGGAGGAGTCGTGGACGACAAAGGGGTCGAAGCAGAGGATGGTTGATGATTATCGGGGGTGGGATAGTAAGGTTACCAAGTTGATTGACTTGGTTCCTGATGATGATGTCCTGGAGTGGAAGTTGTGTCTGCACTCACCGTTGAAGACCTGGATTCGTGGATCTGTCGCTCTTATCGGCGATGCATGCCATCCCATGCTGTCGGTTCCTCTCCTCCCCATTTCTTTCCCAATAAAACTAACAGAAACAGCCCCTACGTCGCCCAAGGCGCCGCCCAAGCCGTCGAAGATGCCGCAGCCCTAGGCATCCTCCTCTCAACCATAGATTCCCGCCACCAAATTCCCCTCGCCCTATTCGCCTACGAGCAATCTCGCAAGCAGCGCGCCGAAACAGTCCAGCAGTCTGGTACCGAGAATCGCACCCTGCTGCACTTCCCTGATGGGCCAGAGCAGATTGCGCGTGATGAGCAGTTCCGCGCGTCGATGAGGGAGAGTGGTAAGAATCCGGATCGGTGGAATGACCGTGAGACGCAGAGGTTTTTGTGGGGGTGGGATGCGGAGAAGGCGGCGTTGGGGGCTTGGAGGGGTGAGTTCATTTTCTCTTTATTTTTGAGCTTGTTTGGCTGTGTGGTGTTGGAGTGAGGCTAACTTGAGCAGAGGTTAGCGGTGGTGAGTCCAAGGCGAGCGCATACCTGTGAAGGCGGGGGGAGTAATGCCAGGATGCACCAGGAGGGATCGTACCAAAGTACAGTTTTGTTTGCCAGCGAGCATTATAATATCATTTGAATATACGGGTTTACAGCATCGGATTCCAGTTGAATATCAAAAGACACTTGAATGCTACCAAACATATGCTTTTTATTGCGTTACACATTAAATGCTCATCTCATATAGAACACATGATCAAACCATCTGATTTTACAGCCTCTCATTAGCAGCAGCCTTCATCTGGCCGTACTTCTTGAGACGGATAGCAGAGACGGTAATGAAGCCGGTGGTCTCAGCGGGAGAGAAGTCACCAATCTCGTCCATGCTGGACTCGGACATGTCGTACAGCTTCTCGGTCTCGGACGAACGGCCGAGGACGGAGACGCAGCCCTTGTAGGCCCGGCAGCGGACCTGGCCGTTGACGGACTTCTGAGAGGTGGTGATGGAGGACTCGAGGAACTCGCGCTCGGGGGAGAAGTAGAGACCGTTGTAGAGGATCTTGGAGTAGTTGACGGTGACGAACTGGTCACGGAGAGCACGGACTTCACGGTCCATGACGAGACCCTCAAGGTCAACGTGAGCGGCGCGCAGAAGAGTGAGACCAGGGGTCTCGTAGCAGCCACGAGACTTGATACCAATGAAACGGTTCTCAACAATGTCAATACGACCGACACCGTTGCGACGGGCAATGGCGTTGGCGGTGAGGAAAAGCTCGACAGAGTCGGTAACGGTCTTCTGCTGGCCGTTCTCGGTGTACTCGAGCTTGACGGGGATACCCTTCTCGAAGTGGACGATGAAGTCCTCAGGCTGCTCAGGGGCCTTGAGAGGGTCGACAGTCAACTTCCACATGTCGGAAGGAGGAGTGGTGTTAGGGTCCTCCAGGATACCAGCCTCATACGAGCAGTGGGCCAAGTTCTCGTCCATACTCCAGGGCTTGGACTTGGTGGAGGTGACGGGGATGTCCTTCTCAGCGGCATAGTCGAGCAGGGCGTTACGGCCGGCGAAGCGGTTGTAGAAGACAGGGTCACGCCACGGGGCAATGACCTGGATGTCGGGCTTCAGGGCGTAGAAAGCAAGCTCGAAACGGACCTGGTCGTTACCCTTGCCGGTGCAGCCGTGAGAGACGGCAACGGCGCCCTCGCGCTTGGCGATCTCAATCTGAGCACGAGCGATGACGGGACGAGCAAGAGAAGTTCCTATATTCTGTCAATTTCCGACGTGTTTGTTATATAATCCATCCAATTCAGTCGACATACCCAAGAGGTAAACGTTCTCGTAGATGGCGTTACAGGCGATGGCGGGGAAGCAAAGCTCCTCGACGAATTCCCCTGCTCAAGTTAGCCACCATGCTCGACTATGCTGGTCCAATGAATACATACGACGCAGGTCGACAACCTCAGCCTTCTTAGCACCGAGCTTCAAGGCCTTCTCGCGGATAGCATCGAAGTCCTCTGGGGGGGGATTGTTAGAACATTTCCGGTGTCGCGATGGTGTCCTGCTTCTTACCTTCCTGACCAACATCGGCGGCTGTTCTCATTAGCATCTGTCTGTATCAATGGTTAAGTAGTATGAGGGCACTCACTGAAAGAGATAACATCCCACCCATCGTCAATGAGGTACTTGACTATAACACATTAGCGGCGTTCAACATCCTATGCAGATAACAAAGACATACGGATGATGCTGGTGTCGAGACCACCAGAGAAAGCGCAGACGAGAGTTCCCTTGCCCATTTTGAGAGAATTGGTTGTATTGGATGAATCGAGGAGAGAAGAGGAGTTGAGTCACGGCGGCGTAGATAAAAAAATTGGCGGGACAAAGTGCGGGTGCGGGCGGTGGGCGGCCTTGGCTCGCCGAAATCGGTTCACTGATAAGATAAGAGTGAGGGGTTGCATAAATTAGATAAGAGGAGTATAAGTGGACATAAGTGAGCATAAGCTATTTATGCCATATTAGGAAGGTGGCGCTCATCCAGTATATAGAATGCAGACAATTACTTACTATGCAGAATACGCCTCATATATATATATTTTGTCCCTGTAGGCATGACAAAAATAACCATACTACCAAAAGCTAGAAGTATATACCGACACGGCTTGTACCGCGGTTGATTGCCTGACATCATTGCAACGATACAATTGAATTTCTAATCCGGTGGAGCTCTATCTCTCCTATATCTCTCACCGTCCTCCCAGCGCATATTGACAATCCATTCTCATCCTTAAATCTGCTATACTGAATAACGAGACCATGCCGTTCCCCGACATCGAAAACAAAGCCGCCACGGGCATTTCCTACTACACGCCCGCTCAAATCCCCCCCGCAGGCTCAGCAGCAATCCCCCAGTCCGATGGCTCTGGTCCCCCGAAGCTGTTCCAGCCTCTGTCGCTAAGGGGTGTTACCTTCCACAATCGCATCGGAGTAAGCCCGTGAGACATTGCTTGGTTGGACATGTCGCTGACTGAGCCAAACATAGCTTTCCCCGCTTTGTCAATACTCCGGTGATGATGGACATATGACCGATGTGAGTTACTTTGCAAGGATTCACAAGAAAAAAAGAACAGTAACTGACAAGGATGCAGTGGCACATGGCTCACCTGGGTGGTATTGCCCAGCGTGGCCCCGGCTTCCTCATGGTCGAGGCCACCGCCGTTCAACCCGAAGGCCGTATCACTCCCGAAGACCTTGGTCTCTGGAAAGACTCCCAGATCGAGCCTCTTCGCCGCATCGTCGAATTCGTGCACAGTCAGAACCAGATCATCGGTGTGCAGATTGCGCACGCCGGCCGTAAAGCCAGCACCGTTGCCCCTTGGCTCTCGTTTGACGATGCCGCATCGGAGAAAGTTGGTGGCTGGCCCAACAACGTCAAGGGCCCTGGCAGCGAGCCCTTCACAGACAACTGCCCGGTTCCGCACCAGATGACCAAGGAGGACATCGAGGCCTTCAAGGGTGCGTGGGTGGCCGCCGTCAAGCGTGCTGTGCGCGCTGGCGTGGACTTCGTCGAGATCCACAATGCTCACGGCTACCTGCTCATGTCCTTCCTTTCACCCTCCGTGAATAAGCGCACCGATGAGTACGGAGGCAGTTTCGAAAACCGCATTCGCCTGACCTTGGAAATCGCGAAGCTCACCCGCGAATCCGTCCCGCAGGACATGCCCGTCTTCCTGCGCGTCTCTGCCACCGACTGGCTCGAGGAATCCCGCCCCAACGACCCCAGCTGGCGTGTTGAGGATACCGTCAAGCTCGCGGAGGCCCTCGCGGACAGCGGTGACATTGACCTGATCGACGTCAGCTCCGGTGGTGTCCACAAGGACCAGCACATTCACGCCACTCCTGCATTCCAAGCCCCGTTCGCGGTTGCTGTAAAGAAGGCTGTTGGTAACAAGATTGCCGTTGGATCTGTTGGTATGATCAACTCCGCGCAGCTGGCTAACTTTCTTCTTGAGACGGACGGGTTGGACTTTGTCCTTATCGGGCGTGCCTTCCAAAAGAACCCCGGGTTGGCTTGGGCTTGGGCGGAGGAATTGGATGTCGAGATTTCCATGTCGAACCAGATCCGGTGGGGATTCAGTACTCGTGGGGGTGGTCCGTTCTTGAAGTCAAAGAAGGGCCAGCAGTAGACGTTGCACATATAGACATAGACGTACGTGACTAAACGGAATGCATAAATCATTTTACATTCCGAGTTTCTATTCAAATACCTGTCGTGCAGAAGGTTGTCGCTTGCCAGACGGCAAGTGAGGCTGAACAGAGCACCGCATACTCTACATTAGTGCGAATTGATTCAAGCGCCCAAGGGAACTTGTCGCTCCAACGCTTGAATGGATTCATCAATAGTGTTTCGTGATGTCCGACCCGAAGGAGTACACGGTTGGCTGGATTTGCGCCATCACCGCCGAATATGTTGCTGCTCAAGTGTTCTTGGACGAAAAGCACGACTACCCGGATTATCACCCATGACACAAAAAAAAAGCGACTATACCCTGGGCAAGATCGGAAGGCATAATGTGGTTATTGCTGTTTTGCCTCTGGGCGAATGTGGCACCTCCGCAGCATGAGTGGCAGAAGACATGATGCATAGCTTCCCGAATGTTCGAATTGGCCTGATGGTTGGCATCGGCGGCAGTGCACCAAGTCGAAAACATGATATTCGTCTTGGGGATATTGTGGTCAGCATTCCTAATAATCGTCAAAGGGGTTTATTTCAGTATGACTTTGGGAAAACGGTCCAGGGTCAGAGCTTCCACCCAACAGGCTTCTTGAACCAGCCACCTACTATCCTGCGGGTGGCAGCGAACGGACTAAAGGCTCAATATGATATTGAAGGCCATCAGCTCGACGATGTGATCAATGGAATTCTAGAGAAGGAACTGAGATTGCGGGAGAAATATAAGCGTCCGGGTCCGGCCAGTGGTCGACTCTACCGCAGTCAGATCGTCCACACTCCAAATGATGAATCAAGCTGTGATCTTGCTTGCGGCAATGAGCCACCTTCACGAATTAGTTGCGTTTCGGCGGACGGATGACGAGGGTCATCTTGAGCTTGCTTAGCCGATTTCTTTTACTACAGGGGGGATGGATGAGCAGCCTCAGACGACTGCTTTGCTAGACTTGTGGTATCTTGGGATGCTTGCTGCTCAGGACCGGGGGGATTATCGGTGGCGTTTGTAATCTATTGATGAATGGGCATGTGTATATATAGCGTGGGGAATCAAGAGGAAACATTGAAAGACCGTCCGGCCCACCATTCTTTACTGAATTGTTACGTGCTATAAAACATTAAATAGCAGTATCAAACCAGCATGTACTCTACATGGGCTTCGTGATAGTTACCAGGAGACAATTGGCCAAAATGTACGAGATTCATAATATTTGCAGACTATGAATGATGCGAAATATATATACAACCCAGAATCCACAAACTAAAACCCAAACAAATTCCTATCCTCATCATACCCCCACTCCTTCAACGCCGGCAACGCAGCCTTCTGAATCATAGTCGGCGGTCCACAAAGCAGCGCCACATTTCCCTCCGTAGGCTTGAATGCATGTTCCTTAATAATATCCTCATTAACATGTCCCTTTAACCCTTTCCAGTTATCACTGGGATGAGATAACACATGTGCAATCTGGAATCGACCATCGTGATTCTTGGAAAATCATCTAGGTCAGCGGCAAGTAAGATGTCGTTTTCTGATTTATTCGCATCAATGACTTTGATTCTTCGTCTTGTCGTCGGTAGTTTTGAGGATTCGGGCTATGATTTGGTAGCCTGGTGTTACGCCTGATCCGCCGAGGATCAACGTGACGTTGCTGAACGTGTGTTCGTCGCCATCGACCTCGAACCGCCTGTTCCCTAAGTATCGAATTTCGCCTGACGGCCCCTTAACTTCAACCTCCTCGCCCTCGCGTAGACAGTCGAGGATATTACTCATCGTCCCGCCGGGTTGGTTCTCATCAGGGAAGTATGTTTTTACAACAAGGTCGAAAGAGCCGTCATCTTCGGTTTCGAGGATTGGTCTGGTAGGTGTGTATGGACGCACGACGAGACGGTCTTCAAAGTGGAAGCCGAGTTGGATGTGTTGGCCTGTTGAGAGGCCGAGTTTTTTGGCGGGGGGTGGAAGGGTGAAGGTTTATAGTTGGGTGTCGGATGAGAGGCGCTTTTTGGTGGTTAGGGTTGCTTGGGTCCGTCTGCAGGAGTTGGCAATTAGTGGTTTGGTTTGGATGAGGGGTGTGCTGGTGGGGACGTACTTGTGTTTGTCTAAGGCAACTTCAGGATCCTTTTTCTCTGTTTGTGATTTTTCTGCCTTTTTCTGTTCTGCGTCTTTCTTCATATGGTCCATTGCTTTTTGCGTGACTTTTCCAATGATACATTCTGTCCATAATCAGCACAGCCCTAACATCGTCTGAATGCGAATGCATACCCTTCAAGTTATCCTGCGCATAATTATCATGAATACTCTCAAAATCCTCCGTTGTATCCATATTCACAGCCCCTGCGTGCGCCAAAATAGCTCCCTTACCCCCAGGATGCCAACCAAGCACACTAGTCGCATCGTATACGTTCCCATTAACCACGATCCAGCAGTCATCCTCAGTATTATGTTTCTCGATCTCCTGTCTGGTGAATTGCTTCTCGGGGGCGGATGCCTTCTGTTTGATGGATTCGATTTGTTCGGAGGTGGAGGGCTTCATCCAGCCGTTTGTGCTGGTGCCGGTGTCGACGGGGTGGCGGAAGAGGAGGGATGTTGAGGTGTCCGAGGAGTCGTGGGTTTCGGGGCGGACTTCGTACCAGCAGTTGTTCATCATTCTGGTCGTGTTAACAAAGATCAGGGACAGGGACGGAGACAGGCTACCCCTCGATATTCCACACAGGCTTCGGAGGCTGCGTATTCTTATGCTCATCAAACGCACGAACCAGAATACTTTCCGCGCGAATAAACCTGCTAACCGGCAAATCAATATGCCAATGCAGCCAAGTCCAGAATTTCCTTCCACGTCGAATCGGCGCATCGGGATACTACATGCTATCAGCACAACTCTTATCCCTCTTTTTCAAACCAACTCACCTTCCGCACACAATACAACCACCTAAACCCCCCATCCAAACTAACCTCCACCCGATCAACCTCATTCCCACTCCCACTATACGCATACCCCTCAACCCGATACATCGCACCCTTCCTCAAACCCGCCAAATCAATCCTCTCCCCCTGTGCAGGCCTAACGATAACAGAATTTAGCATCTGCGTCGTACGTATCGTACTCGGATGACGGTACATGATCTGCGCGATCTCTGATTCGGGGTCGTCAATGAAACTCGGGAGTTGCCTGTTATCGTAGATGTAGTAGTAGCTGTCACTTTCGTAATCAGTGAGCCAGATTTTGCTCAGCCACTTTACAGATTGAGCGCCTACCCAGCCGGGGAGCATTAAGCGGAGGGGATAGCCGTGGTCTGGGGGGGGGTGGGGTGGTCATTCATTTCGTAGGCGAGTAGCACATCGTTATTGGAATTGAGGGCGTAGTCGAGTGGAAGACATGTTTCGTATTTTCCTTCGCTGAGATCGTCAGCGCCTTTATGGTTTACCCAGAAGGATTTATTCGGGTTACTTTTTGCAAGTTGCTGAATGTCCGCTGCTAGTAAAACGTCGCGGGGTAAGACTCCCTTCCAATACGAACACCCCGCTGCGGCTGCGGTATAGTTGAAGACACGGGTTTTCTTCATCATGTTGAGTTCTTTTCTGCGGTTCCCGTCGCAGGCTAGGAAGATGGGGGTGTTGATGCTTTCGAACTGGTTTTTTAGTTCGTCCATTCCCAAGAGTAGGCATTTACCAGCGATGATCTCAAGTTTATGATTTTCCCAGAGCAAATGTGGGACGGAGCCGTGATTGCGGACGTAATGTATTGGTGAGGGTGTAATGAGGCCGCCGTCGAAGAGAGTGGTGAGGTTTACTTCGGCATTCAATGGATGTTTTCCGGTTAGACGAGTGAGTTTGTAACTGCGGGGAATCCAACTATCGGGAGAGAATTGGTCTGCTTCGTCTATTTGCCTTGGGAGATCCTTATCCTGCAGATTGGAATAACCCTTGCCGTTGTTCGTTGTTATTGACGCACGATATTCTTGCCTGGCATGGTTGTTGTGGGTGTTTATGTTTTGGATTATGTGTTATGGGGGGGGGGGGGAGGTGAAGGGTATTTGTGTTGGCCATGGGTCGTCGCGAGCGGGCATTTTGTATATAGTTTGAAGATGGTGATGATGTCAATTTGATGGTGACGGATCTGGTATGGTAGGGTTGGTTTCTCCGCAGATTTGATCCTTAGTTCTGGGTCGGGTTCTGGGGAAGTTAATCTGAACCGTACTATTTTAGTGTTCGCATGTCCTCGAGTAAAGTAGTATGTAAATTCATTAAACGCCAATCTATGCTAAGTAGATATGTTGTTGTTGTTGTTGTAGTATCTCGACAGAACATGCATAAGTATCGTAGTTGTGTTTGGTCTGGAACCGTCAAATTCACATAAAAAGCAGAAGCAGTCCTCATGATCTCAAATCATTCGCCATATCAATGCATCAATCATCAGTAATCAATCAAAATCTGGTATCTATATACAGGCATGGGGATAGTAGTGTGTATATCAGTCTGGAAAACAAAGGAAATATCGTAAATAAAAGAAGGCAAAGAAATCAAGAAGACGAGGTAAACATGAGTCGCAACTTGCTCGACCGCTTAGGCGTGTCTTTGGCCTGTTTGGAATCCCGCTCCGATAGACCATCGTGCTTTGAGTAACTCCGCGTGAATGCGGGCTTGGATGGAGTCTTTGACGGAGTTGACGGCGGAGGGGCCTTGGATGGAGTCTTGGAAGGCGTCTTCGATGGAGAAGGTGCCTTGGAGGGAGTCTTCATCGGGGTAGTAGGGACCTTGGACGGGGCCTTTGGCGGAGGGGCCTTTGAAGGAGACTTGGCCGGAGGAGGAGGCTTGGACGAAGACCGCATCTTCGAGAAGATGGAAGTAGTGGGTGGTTTCGACTTGCTCTCCCGGCGAGGCGTGTGCACACTGCGCGAGCGACCAGTGCGACGCGATGAAACCGTCGCGGCATCATCGTCGAATTTGAATCGAGGATCCCGCGTGTTGCGCGCGTTGTTTACGTCGATACCGGACATGGTCGCTGCGGTGTGCGTGATGAATTCGCCGTCGACCTTGGTGCCGGTGCTCTTGGCTTCGACGTCGGCAACACCGCGACGCCACATCTCGACTTGACTGAGACACTCTGTGTTGATCTCCATCAATTCTTCGGGCCTTTCGGGCTCCTCGACGGCCTTGGGCTTGTTTTCGGTTGAGCCTCCGCCTCCGATCTGCTTGATGATCTTGTAGCTGCCAAACATGACGATCGTAGCGCCAATTCCGACACCGGCGGCAATTAGGAACTGGGGACTGGCGAGGAGAGCCCAAACAGCTGGTGCAGATGTCTTGAGCATCGAGATGGCCGCCGGGGCCATTTTACCGATGAGATTGCTAATCTCCGCCAGAGTCAGGGCGACGGCGGCCATCGCATCTGGATGCTGCTGCAATTGAGACATTGCCGTCGTCGCACTGTAATGCAAGCATTCCGCTTCTTCCAGTAATATCTGCGCACGGTTCACCAGGCTATTCAGTTCAGGGTCCTCGATCTTCTGCAGCTGCATGTTATTGGCCGGAACGGCTCCGGGCGGACCGGGGTTCCGTGGTACCATGGCCTCAGGATTGTAGTCGCCGTACGCGAGGTCCATATCGACATCTGCATCGCTCATGGTGCGGCCGGTTGGTGGGCGTTGTTGCGGCACATCCCGGGTATTCATGATGGGCTGGGTGTGGCGGCGCGGGAGGGCGGCGGGTGGTGGAGCGTACACGGACTCCTCATCGCTATAGTGCGAAGGGGCGCGGGAAGAGGCGCGACGCGGATGTTGACTGCGACCGGAAGGGCGTCGTGCAACCGACCTTGATCGTCCACTTCGTCGAGAGGATGCGACAGACTGCCCGTCATCGAAGCTGAAGTTTTCCATGGCCTTCATGGCTTGTCGCTCGGCGACTTTTGCATTGCGCTCGTATTGGAACTGCGACTTGCGTTCGCGGTAGGCATTTCTGGCATTATTGAAGATGCCAAAGACTTGTTTGCTCTGTACCAGTTAGACTTTATGCAAGAGACTGTAGAAGAAAGCAGATGACTCACAGTATTGACGACCTTGCCGGACTTGTCAATCACGGCCACTGTCTCGCCAAAAGGCATGATGTATGTATGTTGGATATCGCAACACGGCGACCGGTGATCGCTGATAGCTGATTGCTGAATGAAGATTTGTTTGAAGAATGGTTATTTGAGAAGCACGAAAAAAATGGCGTATAAAAAGAAACGAAAAAGGCCGGATCGACAGGAGCAACGCGACGAAGCGGTGTGTATAGATCCAGTCACGGTGGAGATGGATGCAAAGTCCCGGCGGATGCGAGTCTAGCGTGGAAGTCGGATTGGAAAAGAGTCGAAGGACACACGAGTCAGTGTCCCGGGGTATATATATATGATGTCCACAATAACCGATGGCAAGAGAAATAATGGTGCCTGTTGTTCAGCCGGTGTTGTTATAGATTCAGACTCCGGGTACTTGTATGTACTCCGTATGAGGCGAGACCGTTGGACTCGGTGGAATAAAGCCACGAAGAGTCTTGACGGATGTAAGATGAGAGATAATAATCAAGAATAATATAGAATAATAATTAAGGGAATTAAGAGCAGGGAGGCAGGAGGAATAATTGCGGTTTTAATAGGAGGGGTCCACGAGCAGAACAGCACTGCGGGGGCATATAGAGTTGGTTGGGTGTCGAGAATTCATCCTTTGAATTAGAAACAGCATCGAATCGCCCACACAAAGCGAGGGGAGCAACTCGACGAAACTGGAATTCTCCGGTGGAGTTGATGCTATGCGGACATGAGTGGACAGCGACATTGGACGAACAGGAGATCGTGGAGCGCTGCGGTGTTGTTGTCGCGGTGTGATTGACGGATTTTCCTGAGTGAGGCAGTTGGGTAGATTATTTTACTTTACTAGAATAGTGCTCAGGTACACAGTACTAGCACTCAGTACTTGTGAATCATCGTGTTATGGATTTCTATTGGGGCCAAAGTGAAGCGAGTTGATTACCGCTTCTGGACTGGCGGTGATGCAATGTGATTTGATTGGCTGGACAGTCACCGTCACTGTGGCTCGTGTGTGGCGCACCTTACCGTATTACATTACATCCCACTATGTATTATTCTGTCAACACTTGATACTCCATATAGAGTAACTACTCATATGTACTATCCTCATAGAATAGCCTCGTATGATCTCATGAGAAGGTTGTTCTATTTATATGCTGCCAAATGAGCTACAGCTCAGCTTCACTACTCTGTACATGCTCAGATAACAGTATCATACAGCTTCATGCAGACCACGAACAACCTCATTCGCTGGCTCTTGCCAGATAATGTGCCTGAGTGCGGTCGATGTGTTTCAACGATTGATCAATCCTCGGTCTTCAGTCCAGCCCAGACTGAGATCCTTCCATGTTGATGCCCGAGTTGGATCTCTCATATAGACACACATACCAAGGGATACTTAGGATACTTGCAGTCAATATCCAGTCAACATCCCTTATTCCCTGCTTTGAGCGCCTACGTGCTCTACGGTCACTGCGTTACTCCCTCGGGATTTCACCATTCTGAAGCTGAATGGCATAACTGTCTCTTTTCTTTTTTATTGACTCGATCGACTGAACCAAGCCCTTGGTACCATAGCCTTAAATTAACCATGGCCACCCTTAAACCCAGTATGCCTTTGGCTCGATTATCGTGGGAACCGAGGTCAGTATGCGCCATTACTGCCAGTAATATCGGTCGCATTGTACAGAAACTAAGCCAGACAGATACCTCCCCTCGGAAGTACCTGGGTTCTGCTGGAATCTCAAAAGAAACAACAGCAAAAGCAGCTTCAACAGTGGTGAGTCGCTTTCTTCTGTTTGTTTCTGTTATCCACGTATCGCACCGCCACAGCCGAATTTCTCCAGTCTGGTCACGAGACTCACCTCGACATCGCCTTGTCAACGCCACGAGAAAAGAAGAAAAGAAAAGAAGCGAGGTACAGAATTAGTTGGATACATGAACAACATACGATAATTGACTTGTTCTCTACGTGGTCCGACCGGATTCAGCTCCGCCCACAATACGGAGTAAATTTGCACTGCATCATCATCGGACATTCAACCGACCAACAGGACCATTTCCCGGATCTAGGAAATAATCCTTCTTTATAAATAAGAAAAGAACACAGCTGAGATTTTATCAGCAATGGACAACACAGTCGAGTCCGACAGCACCTCCGAAATCGACGACCAGACCAAGGCCTGGGAATCCGATCCTCGTCTCGTGACTCAGCGCCTCCACGATGCTGACAACGAGCTGAATTCGCTGGAATGCGGAATTGGCCATCGTGTTCAGGCCAGTCGCTCCGTGTTGGCATTGGTTCTGGATGAGGAGTGTGTGTTCGCTGGGCTGCAGGGTGGTGACATTGTGGTACGTATTATCCACCCGATGTCGGTTGTGTGGTAGCAATTAACAGTGGGTAGGCGTGGTCGCTTGAGACATATGATCTCGTACTTTCGGTCCATGCGCACAAGGAAAGCGTATTAGGGCTGTATCTATCGGAAGATGGCGATCTGCTGTTTTCCAGTGGTGGCGATTCCGTCGTCAATGTGAGTGCATCTACTGCAAATCAAGGAAAACAGGAGAGATAACAGGTCCAGGTCTGGTCAACAAGGACATTCGATCGTCTCTACTCCGTCTACTCCCACCATGACGTAGGCGATATCTTTGCCGTCGCCTACTCCTCCACTCTCAAGACCATTTACTGTGGTGGTCAAAACACCAGCATTCAGGTGCGTCACTTCTTACCAAATCCGACGATCTCTTCAATTAACGCTAGCAGTGGTGCGACCTCTCCAAAACCGATGCAGCTGCAACTCAAACATCAGCAGCTCATCTATCTCGCCGGACGCATCGGTTCTTTGACTCTCGTGGTCCAGATGGCACCCGCGCTCCACGCCCTGACTCTAGTTCAGATGGCAGCGCGCAGGGCGGGCAAGTTCTAACGTTCAAACGGGATCATCATCGGCTGTTTTCGCACCATGGCTATGTGAATGCGGTGCTTCTAGTCCGGGGCTTGATTGAATCTGCGCCTACGGAAGAAGTGCTCTTATCCGGTGCTGGTGATGGCGTGGTCAAGTTGTGGCGGTTAGGTGATGATGGCAATACTGCGCCGACGCAGATGGCGAAGCTACAGAATGGTGATCCTGTTCTCTCCATCGCCGTTGATGGCTCGTTCTTGTACTGTGGGTTGGCTGGTGGAGCGTTGAATATCTGGAACTTGGATTCGCATCAACTGGTGAAGCGCATTACCAGACATACTGGTGATCTATGGGCTGTGGATATTATCCGGGGGATTGCCGTCTGCGGTGACTCGAACGGTATTGTGAAGGTAGGCCGCCCCTCAAATGTCTCAAGCCCAGGACAATCGCTGACAGAACAGAAATTCAACTCCCGCTTCGAAGAGGTCGGCAGCTGGGTCGCCCACGAAGGAACCATGCTCGCCTCAGCCGCAGGCCACTTCAAAGACCGCCGTATCTACGCTACCGGAGGAAACGACAACACCGTTGGTATCTGGGACCTAACAGAATTCTCCATGAACCAAGACGAAGTGCCCCCAATCAGCAATGGTACCCCTCCCCCTCCCCCCGCTCCGTGCAAGCAAAATGATGTACTAATAACGCAGACGAACTCGTAAACGCCCTGGCCAAATTCGTCGCCTTCAAAACCATCTCCGCCAGCCCCAAATTCAACGGCGAATGCAACCAAGGCGCAGCCTTCCTCCGCCGCCACTGCAACTACCTCGGCGCAAAAACCAAACTCCTAACCACAGGCGACGACACCAACCCCATAGTCCACGCGCGCTTCAACGCAACCTCCCCGCACAAAACCGACAAAACAGTTTTATTTTACGGCCACTACGACGTTGTCGGCGCAGACACCAACCGCCCAAAATGGAAAACAGACCCTTACCAACTAACCTCCATAAATGGCTTCCTCTACGGCCGCGGCGTCTCAGACAACAAAGGACCAATCCTAGCAGCCCTCTACGCAGCAGCCGATCTAGCACGTACAAAGGACCTCCGCTGCAACGTCGTCTTCCTCATCGAAGGAGAAGAGGAATCCGGCTCCCAGAACTTCCACGATACAGTCCGCCAGCACAAAGACCAGATCGGACCTGTAAACTGGATTCTCCTAGCAAACAGCTACTGGCTCGATGATTCAAACCCATGCCTGACATACGGCCAGCGCGGCGTCGTCCACGCAAACTTAATCGTCACATCCGATCATCCAGACCTCCACAGCGGAATCGACGGTAGCGCCCTCCTCGACGAACCGCTCAAGGACCTCTCGATGCTGGTTAACACCCTCATTGCCCCGAAAGGTCGCATAACTCTGCCTAATTTCTATGACCCCGTTCTCCCGCCTACACAGGCCGAAAAACACCGCTACGCGGCTATCGCTGACATCCTCCTCCCGCGACACCCGGAGATCGCAGACCCAGAAGCCCTGGTTACCTCGCTCATGCACCGCTGGCGCGAACCATCGCTTACAATCCACTCCATCGAAGTGCCCGGGTCCAGTAAATCAGCTACAACGACGATCTCCAGAAAAGCAAAGGCCTCTCTATCCATCCGCATCGTACCAAACCAAGACGCAAATGAAGTCGCGGCGAACCTTACAGCGTTTGCACAGGAACAATTCGATAATCTCGAATCAGGAAACGAACTTACAGTCGAGATCACTGGTAAATCAGATGCTTGGCTTGGAGATCCCGACAACGAGATTTTTGAAACGCTCGCGGATGCGATTACCACTGCGTGGACGCCGGATACGCATGCTACCAAGCATCACTATCCGCCTATCGCTTCGTCCCCGTCACTGTCACTGTCACTGTCACCTGGACCAGCGACACCAGCGCCCGCTGCGGGGGTGACAGGTGGGGATAATGCGGCAGCTGCATCAAGGCCTGAACTCCTCCGAAAGGACTCATCGGATAGTCTGGCATCGCATATCGACAGGATCATCATGTCGACGACAAGCTCCTCAGCTAGGAAGAATGCAACTCGCAAGGGCTCAGCTGTTGGAACGACAGTTCCGACGTCCTCGACATTAACCAGCAAGTCGACCGGAACGGGAACTGGAACTGGAACCGGCAACGCAACATCCTCCTCTTCCTCAGGCACCGACACGCCAGATCCCGACACCTCAAAAACAATTGACGAAGGATCGACCCATCTTTCCCGGGAACCGCCCACCGAACCACGCCCGTCACACCCGCAGACTGGTGAAAAACTAGATTCTCCCTCGCGAACTGGCGTTCGACCAATCTACATCCGTGAAGGAGGGTCTATTCCTACGATTCGGTTCCTGGAGAAGGAGTTTTCTGCGCCGGCGGCGAATTTGCCGTGTGGGCAGGCTAGTGATAATGCGCATTTGGATAATGAGCGGTTGAGGGTGGAGAATTTGTATAAGAGTCGGGAGATTTTGAGATATGTGTTTGGGAGGTTGCCGGAGAAGGCAAGGGAGTAGTTTTTCTATTTTCTATTTTTTAGGTATTGATTTATGTCTGTTATGCAATGAATCAAGTATGGGATGTTTGTTTGTGTTTACTTTAGTTCTAAGAATGTAGAACTACCTCCCTTGGCGAGGGTGGTGTAGGAATGTGCCTCAAATCCAGCCTGTCTGTTATTCTGCACGGCTTCGAGTCCTCTCGGTCGCATTTCCTCTTCGTACTGTTCTATGGCATCCTTCGCCGAGATCTTTCCGCCAACTGCCAGTTTCAGCTTATCAGCCAGATAGCAAGCATCGACAATCGCGTGGTTCACGCCCTCGCCGCGGACTATATATATCAGCACCACCACCATATCACAGCAGGGGAAAGAAAACTTACAAGGAGTCATGCAATGCGCAGCATCCCCAATCAACGTACACTGCCCACCCCAAGTATCCCACTCAACGTACGGCCAATCCATCATACCAACAACAGCGACCTGCGCATCCTCAGGAAGCGATGCGGCCATTTCGCCCACGGGCCCGAAGAACGATTTCCCCCGCTTCATAAACACTTCGCGCCGGGATGTCTTGAGTAATTCTTCGTCGTGGGCATTGTCCTTGTCGGACTTGAGCCATGATAGAAACATCTGTGCTGTGTATGAGTCGCCTGGTTGCTTAGGAGTATTTTGTAGTGACCAGAAAAGACAAGTATTCGTTTCTGGGTGCGTAGCGAGGAAGTATAGAGGATCGATGGTCTCCTTGATCCGCTTATACTGATCTTCAGTGACAGGGAGGCCTGTCGCCACGGCGTTGATAGGAAGGTTCTGGGCTGGGTACGTAGTCGGAGCTAGGACTTTGCGGACAGCTGACATGGCACCGTCTGCCCCGACTAGAATATCACCGGTAGCCGTTGTACCATCCGAGAATTCAACCTGAACTCCATCCTCGGTTCGCCTGACATCGACAAGTTGTTTATCCCACTACTTCAGTTAGCACATCTCCACCGGCCCGACCCGAGTCCTAAAAACCCACCTGCACATCAACCCCCCCAATCAACGCCTCCCGAATCCCACTCCTCCGAAACCGAAACTTCCGACTAGCAGGCCTCCTCCCCTCAACCACCCCCGATTCCCCATTAACCCACGGCACCCTCCTCGTCCCATCCAGCCCCGTCTCGCGATCAATCTGCGCCTGACAAAGTCGATCAAATGTCTCGGGGAGGAAATGCGTTGCCATGGCCTCGAGGGACCATTGGATTGTGAGGCCCCAGCCTTGTTTTCTGACGGAGGCGGAGGATTCGCGCTCGTAGATTGCATAGGGGATTGAGTGGAGGTTGAGGGATTGGGCGAGGGTTAGGCCGCCGATGCCGGCGCCGATCTGGGGGTGTTAGTTTGGTGGAGCTTGAGAAGGTGGATATGGGGATGGCGTACGATTAGGATCCGCTTGTGGGGATTGAGTTGGGTAGACATTTTGCGCTGAATCTTGGGTTGGTTCCTGGATATTTGGAAAGGGGATACTCAGGGAATTTGAGGAGACAAAATCGATAGCAGAAGAGCAGGAATTGTGGGTTCTCTGTTGGAGCGAAGCCCATGAGAGAGGAAGAGAAGATGAAGGGGTTTGCACCTGTAGCAAACGGCCAAGCCTCTCTTGCCGCTTTTGGCTGACAGGGCTAATCCCTGTATCAGGTCATGTGACATAGGTTCCTTCCATACTTGTATACTCTCTCAATCGATCAAACGCGCAGAGTTAGTTATACTGTAGTTATACTGTTATACATGCATAAGCCCGGCGCGAGCAAGTATAACAGCTCAAGGTGGCTACTCAGCCCGTCTATAGGAATCCGTGGCTACTCCAGGTTTGTTTCCGCCCATCTCTCATCCATATCTGTATGCTAACAAGATAACGACAAGGAACCTTCCGTCTCGAAATGGATGAGGTTCCTCAGCAAGAATCACAACGTCAAGTTCGTTTGGCTCCAGTTCCTACCCTACACGACCAACACATATACCCGGATCGTGCCCGTGGCCAAGTTCACCCAGATGGTCGGGAATGGTCGACGTTTATCTATCGCCAACGAAGCCTTTCTCCTAGCTCCAGGTGACTGTCTGGTAGACGAGGAATTGGCAGCTGGGTCGTTCAGTCTTCTTCCAGACCTCGACACGGCCTATTGCCAGGCACACTCCGAGGGAACTCGTGTGGTCATCCAGTGTGACTGCGTTGATAGCAAGAACGGACAACCTATCGAGAGATGCGCGCGTTCACTGACTCGACACCTTTGCTCGAAGTTTCAGAGTTCGACCGGTCTTGTTCCTTATATCGGATTCGAAGTGGAGGTGGTCTTTATGAAACGCGAGCCAGATACAGTTACATATACCCCGATAAGCAGGAATCATCAGTGGTCCGGTATTACCCAAGAGGATTCTGTGCATTTGAACCTCATCGAGGGCTGCATGAGTGCGTTGGAAATGGTTGGTGTCGCTGTTGAGCATGTCCATGCCGAGGCTGCTCCGGGACAATGGGAATTTGTGCTTTCGCCTGATTGGCCCCTCCCAGCTATCGACGCACTTCTCAAGGCTCGAGACACAACCAGGATTGTGGCTCGTTTGTTTGATGTACATGCGACGTGGCACCCGCGTCTTTGGCCTGACCACCCTGGCACTGGGGTGCACGTTCACATGTCCTTGTATGACCCATGGAAGGGACAAGAACCTAGACGCGACACCCATTATATAAAGAAGTTCCAACACTTCATGGCTGGCGTGCTGCAACATATTCTCGCCATAATGGCGTTCTCCCTTCCACAGGAAGTCAGCTACGAGAGAGTCAAGCCGGGAATCTGGAGTGGCGGCGAGTACGCCTGCTGGGGACTGGACAACAAAGAAACCCCTCTGTGCCTCATTGAAGAGAACCATCTCGAGCTCAGAATGATAGACAGATTGGCTAATCCATACCTCGTTTTCTGTGCTATGCTGAAGGCCGGGGAATATGGCATTGAGAGACAGATGTCCTTGGTTGCCGGACAAGTCGAGACTGCGCCAGCGAAGCTCCCACCGACCAAGAGAGATGACCTCATGCTACTTCCCAAGACCTTACAGGGGAGCCTCAAGGCTTTGGAAATCGATCCGATTTTGGACCAGTATACGCCTAATGTCATTGGAGATCATCCTATGGCTATGGTACGGACTTATATTGCTGTCAAGCGGGAAGAGGCAGAGATATTGCAGAAGATGGAGCCTGATGAGCGACGAGCGTGGTTGATTTCTAGGTATTAGAGACATGACCTCGTCCGAATGTCAAACTGCATGAGAGCCCTATGGTGTCACTGCTTATATCATTCGAAAACGAGACTAATGTATCATATTCCAATCTCTCTATCCACATAACGCACGTAATCTTTCCCGGACAAGATAGCCCTGGAAACACTCCCAGTTACGTCTCCAAGCCCGAGAAGGAGACAAACTTTGATCCATGGTATATTATATCCCCGAATAAAGATAAATGGTGTGAGCATGGCTCAATTGACGCCCGAGTAACTTCTTTATTGACCTAAGCTGGACTAACCGTAATCAACCCCATGTGGAAAGCGGCTGAGACATACTCTCTCAATTCTGTAATGACGCCACTCTGCCAATATGCCAACAGTTGCACTTGTCAGTCATGACTAGTAGAAGTCTTCTGATAAAAATTTCGGCCACTAGTTGGCATATCCTTGAGCCTTGGAAGAGATGCACGCGGGATATCATAGATTGTCATCGAGAACAGGAATGAAAGACGGCTCCGGATTTGTGGGCATGTTGAATTTGAAGAATATGCATTCCTCTCTCGCAACAAGTTCTTGTTTCCTGTGAATTCTTTCGAGGCTTGAAGTTTCGGTAAGCAAATAAATAGATGGGCCTATAGCTTCTATTGTAGTGGGTATAGCCACTGTAACCGATGCATGCAACTCTGCTGCACCTTCTGGCAATTCCATGCCATGGGTGTCTCTCGGTGCTTTCAGGGCTGATTATTACGATTACGGTCGTACTCATCCCTTGTGTGTTCTCGCTATGGGTATGATCTTCTTTGCTGTCAATGATGATTGCTGCTGATGAGAGTAGACGGGGGTGGTGTTCGTGGACTGTCTTCTTTTATCCCCTGGAAAATTTTTGACAAGTTGGAAGAAAGGTTGGGAGAAAGGAAAAAGCCATGTAAAATCTTTAATATTATTGGAGGTACCAGTACTGGAGGGTACGTATTGCATGGTATTTGTTCGCGAATTCTACTAACTTCTTCAGCTTGATCGCCATTATGCTTGGTCGCCTTCAAATGGACGTTAAAGATTGCATTACGAAGTACCAAAAATTGATAGACATAGTCTTCAAAAAACGTTCAGGAACTCTGGGATCGATTATGGATTGGATTACCAAGAAAGCGAGCTTCATTTGGAGTGGCCAAATCTACGACGATGAGCCCCTCGAAACGGAAACCAAGAAACTCGTAAAGAGCCAACTCGGAAATGAAAATGCAAAACTACTTGAGGGGGAGGGCAATCCGGGCTGCAAATTGTATGATTCCTATCCTCTCGTTGATTTACATCAAGCTAATATATTTTAGATTCGTTGTGGCTACCCGGAGAGACGCACTCAACAATCATGGCCCGGTTTTCCTGCGTTCCTACAAACATCCTCATGATTCTCGGGGCCTCAGCAATGTCAAGCTTTGGCAAGCTGCTCGTGCAACATCTGCTGGCCCCGCATATTTCTCTTCTGTGAAAGTGGGTGACTACGAATTGGTTGATGGAGGTTTGAGTGCCAATAATCCTCTCGGATGGTGAGAACAACCCCCCCCCCCCCCCCCCGTTCCTAGCTAAGATATACCGCTGACCCCTTCAGGCTATGGACAAAAGTATTTAGCATCTATGGCATGGGCCGTAGAGGCCAACTGCTTCCTCAGCATCGGTACTGGCATTGGCTCCAACCAAGCACTTACCGATCCTAGGAAAGCACCTGGCCAGGCCATATCAGCTATAACAGCTGCTGCCACCAATTCTGGGATTGCCCACCTTCTCTTCAGGACTCTTATTGATGCCTTTGCTCCAAATAGTGGGAAGCCGAAATACTGGCGTCTCAATGTCAACAAGCCTATCCGTAAAGTTATTTACATAGAATTCTCGGAAATAAAGAAGAGCATTAATTAAAATATCACTCAAAATAAGTATTTGTTTAAATTGAGACCATAATAATATAAGGTCGTATACGAGAATAAACTGCACTCTCTCATTTTTATCAGTTTCCTGCATGTAAGACCTCGTCTATTTGCGGACCATCGATACCTCCGATTCCCCGAATTCCCACTTCATATCTGCTTATCCGCCTGGGGCAGCCGAATTATGTCCCAAGGCTCAAGACCCAACCTGAAAAGGGATGTCCGTCCTCCCTTTGAAATACCACAGACCTTCTGCTACTACACGACCATCTTCCACGAAATGGGTGCCACAAGCTTTCTGGAAAAACTGCCCATAGAGCTGCTCCAGGCCATTCTGTGCTGGCTGCCTGATATCCAGTCACTGCGTTCTGCGCTCCTGGCCGCGCCGTTTTTGTACGCCGCATCTCGTGACTTGCTAGTCGTCAAGAGCGTATTGCTCCACCAGCTTGACAGGAGCCTGCTTCACGATGCTTTGGCGGCAGATAGAGCCGCACTCAAGACCAGCTGGACTGAGACAGAGGTAGATGGGTTTCTCGAGCTTTACGTCCAGCGCTCAGAAGAACCTTTTTTGTCTGATCTTACCTGTTCCCTAGCCCAGGCGGCGCGGCTGGTGCGCTTTCATGTGTTGATCGACGCGTGGATCGAGGATATGACGGCTCCGATACTGGCTGCGAACAACCCTCTGCGCAGAACGGCCGGGTCGCAACTTGAAGAGGCACAAGCTCGTCCACTCTCCCAGACAGAGCGGAGACACTTCTTCATTAACTTTTACAGATTTCAGATCTATTCCCATTTGTTCCGGGATCCTAATAATTGCCCGTACGACCACCCCGATGACAGGTATGAAGCCTACTTTGCGCAGTTTTCTGCTTGGGAAAACGAACAGCTAGCCTGAATCCATGACTATCTGCTAAGAGTCATGAAACCGGGTAAGTAAAGCCTATTCAGTTGGGACAGAGTCGAATGAGCAACAACATTAAACGTATCGGATCAGCATTCAAAGAAGTGGCCGAAACCGACTCGTCCTGGGTTTCATTCTTCATGGCCTCTGAGACCAGTCCGGGTTTGGACTCTTTTGTCCAGCAGTATCATCTCTCGCGTGGTCTGGAACATATCAAGCGATTCTTCGACGCCAACACCTTTGAGAAACGGCGTGCGGTCCTCACAGGCTCCCATAACCAACAATCGCATTTTTCGTTTATGTCCAACATCATGCGTGAAGCCCATGAGTATGACGACATCTCCATTACCCTGAATCAAATGAACACAGATGACGAGGCGGAACTGGTGCGTCGGCCATGGTACGCAGAAGAGCCCGACACCGGACCCGAGAAGGTCTGGCGATGGGCCCTTGCCGATCAGGACAGTTCCGCGTTTGAATTTGGTCTGCCACAGGGCCCCGCCAGAGAGTGGGCGTATGTTCTATGGGACCATGAGCGGTTGGAGGAATGGGGAGCATTTGCTAAGCCATTCAAGTTTATGAACAAACAGGAATGTGAGGATTTGTGGGAGAGACAGAAACAGGATGAGCATCTAGCTTTAGAGCAGGTGGCACACACATTGAAACTCCCTGTTTGGGATTAAAAAAAAAAGAAAAAAAAAAAGTGTTGACTTCTGTATATGGCTGAAGCCGTCTGATAATTTGGCCGCTCCAATCGATCCACGGAAATACTTACTTAACATTCCTTACTCAGGCGTTATCTCAGTAGTAGCAGTAGTAGCAGTAGTAGTAGTAGTAGTAGTAGTAGTAGTAGTAGTAGTAGTAGTAGTAGTAGTAGTGTGTGTATCTAGGCTGCGGCAGCATCCGTAAAATCCGTGGATTATTATTATTGTTCATACACGCATCTGTCAGCCTTGTAGGCCGAGCGGCGGCAGGTCCTGCGGGCGGCCGGGTAAGCCGCCATAATGGTAATCGCTATGTACATCGTGGCTTTTCTACACATATCCTGATCTGTTGTATGTCTCGTATTGCTGGTTTCGTACTGCTGTTCCTGTGACCATGAAGATCCATGGACTTGTTGGATGCTGTCTCGTTTTCCGTCTCTGCTTCTGCAAGCGCCTAACCCTGGCTGCGCTATGCTGCCGGCTGCTTCTTGTCCGTTGCTGTGACTTGGTATGTGGTTGGTAGAGTCTGAAACTGGCTTAGAAGGCCCATCTCGAGCATGAATCGCACTGCCTTCGGTATAAGTCTGGCCGTGTTAGGTAGGCCCGGTAATCCAGCCCCCGCCTTGACCCTGCGTAAGATGGCGCATCCGGGGTCCTGCCTGGTTTGTACAGTGGAGGAGAACATGGCTGTATTCAACACTTGTGATATCTCAGCTCCATCATCACCCGTGCAATGTGAGCTAAATCGTTCGCTTGAACCACCTGAATTTGACAACAGAACACATTGATGTTGCATAAATGCTATGGCCTAATCCCATACCTCTGAGCGCCTTGAAATTTTTGCTGCATCCCTAGACAACAGAAGACGGCAAGAAGCTGCCGTTTGATTCGGAAAACTGGACGTAACAGGCAGCACGCAGAGCCGTCGAGTTCCCCCCTTGGCAGGCTTTCGAATCTGAATTGAAACCTATTAATTGCGATGAGGAGGGCGATGAAATGTTTCATGATGCGGTGGATACATTGTTCAGTCATCAACCTGATATCGATTGTATTTATGGTAATGTGCGCCGTGACTGTTTTCGACCATTGGCTAGGAAGTACCAGGGAGGTGGCTTTTGTCTCCATGAATTGACGATTTCGTCGGAGAGATTGCATGCGCTGGCTAAGCTGCTTCTCGTCGCGCAGTTCGGGCCGTTCAACAGTCTTGATATTGAGGAGTTTCCAGATCTCGACAAGGTGACAAGCTGTATTGTGAAGGCATTTCATCGGAATCCTGATGTCGGTATCACTTGGCCGATGTTCGATGATGCTGCGAGGGGAACAGTATGTACATCCTCGCCCTTCGAATGCACTCCTAATAACCATTACAGCCCTTCCTCTTCACGTCCTTGTCGCAAATTCTGTCAATTTTTACTGGTCGACTAGACTCCGATTACTATCTTGAGGATCTCGTACCTCAACCTGTAGCAACTTTCTTAACATTCCCCATTATCATGCAACTGTGCCTCATCATTCGGGAGAATATTTATTGGGAAGGCTTTCGGCAACTCCACCGCTACTACCCGGAAACCGATCCAGTCGAAGTGCCCACTATTGCTGACAACATCACTTCCCTTGATGATGCAGCTGTCCTCCTCATCTCCGGGAAGATCATACACACCTGCGAAGAGGCTCTCTTTGGGGCTTTCATCCCTATCCCTTCCAAGGACGGATATGAGATTCAAGAGCAACATGACCACTGGCCTGAGCTCTTCTCCTGTCTTCTTCTTGAACTGAGCCCCGTACATGATGTTTCCTGGGGCAATATCAATCGACCTGGCTGGTCGGTAACTAGCGATGAGCTCTGCTTTGGAGAGAAAGACAATGGTGCGGCTTTGGTATTTCAAAAGGGGTTGAAAGAGACTACTTTTACAAGGAACACTGAGCAGAAGGATCCGGCGTATACAGCGACTGCATGGAGGGGAAACGGTACCACGGAGATCGACGTCGAGACAATCGAAATATGGAGTGACTTATACTCGACGGAGAACGACTGAACTGAAAATCCAGTCTACCGGAACATGTTGTCCCGACTCGGCGTTTCTGCAGAAATGGTCTGCTGCATAATGCATACCCCGTACGCACTGTGCATAAAAAAAATTAAAAAATAAAAACGGTCGAATTATGCACGCTCCAACCAGCTATACCCAAAAAGGAAAAAGGGACAAAATGCCCGACAACGGCGGCGAATCTTCTCCTAAATCCGCCTAACAGGTTTAATTTCCGGCATTCTTGCCTTTCCAATCAGCAAAGAGACCTTCACCGGCAATTCAAAAGTACGCTGCAGGTTGCCCTATCGGGTTCAGCACAGACGGCCAAGTAATCTGATGATCCGTTTGACAGGGGAAAAATAGCTATAGGGGGGAATACCGAGTAGCCGAGTTTCTGCAGAGTCATGGTGAAGGATTTCATGACAGAGGGGGGTCTGCTATAAATGTAGATTCCCCTCTTTTTCGGTCTGCAGCTTGCTGCCGGACTGAATGGTTCTCTATTAATTGCTTCAATTGAATCTTTCAACTCTGTGATTTCTTTGAATATTGAATGCTAATACATACAATGGGTGAGATTCAGCCAGAGATTTACATTCTCAATCGAGACGCTGAGGAATCCGCGCGGTATGCATTTGTCTCCGTTGAAGATCCCTCGCACCGTTAGGGACCACTTGAACCAGACATCGATCAAGAACTAACATGTTGGGGCTGTAGTCTCAACTGCCAACATGACTTCCTACTCGAAGTCTACGGAAACAACCTGATCCATCCGTCTATTCCTAAATCGAACATTCAGAGCGTCGCGGATATTGCAACCGGCACGGGGTATGTACATCACTCAGCGCTGATAAAATTGATGATCAGGGAAAGTAATGAGTGAGATGTATACAGAATCTGGCTTCGAGATGCGGCCACCGTGTTAGGCATGTGGAATCGCAATCCTTCGAGTCCATACTACCTTCACGGCTTTGATATTTCATCAGCCCAGTTCCAGCCCCTCCCTACGCAAACCAACGCAGAAATCTCCTTATCCCTGCAGAACTGTCTCGAGCCTTTTTCATCGGAACATCATGGGCGGTATGATTTCGTGCATGTGCGATTATTGATTGGTGCTCTGAGGAAGGGCGAGTACGAGCTCGCCATAAAAAATATATTCGACATCCTGAGTATGGATCAATGACCATCCTGCTTCAAAATGCTGGTAACTGACAGCATGCAGAACCCGGTGGCTACTTCCAATGGGAAGAAACCGACATGGACTCCATCGAAAGCGATATATCCCCCCAACCACCAAGCCTCATCGAAGCCCGTCGCCTTCTCCTCAGTTCCTTGGACAAATCTGACCTCTACACAAAACCCGCAGAACACATCAAGAGCGAAGCAAAATGCATCGGCTTTAGCAACCTCCATATCGTGGAATACAGTAGTACTACAAGACCGCATCTGCGGGACCGGTCCCGTGCTTGGCTTACTCGGGCACTGCAATCGGTGATGCCCATGGCGATGATAAGACTTGGAAAGGCAAGTGAGGAAGATTTTGGTAAGGAAATGGCCAAGGAATTGATGGCTGAGTTTGAGAGCGAGTGTGCTGAGGCAATTGTGGGATTAAATATGGACATGGTTATTGGAAAGAAGCCGGAGCGATTGGAGAGTGTTCTGTGAATAATAATGTCTTTTTAATACTGCTATTGTCGCGATACATGAGCGGATCTGATAATGATAATTGGGACATAATCGGCGTCGTGTGTGGTGACCTCTTCCGATGTAACGACAAGTCAACACCATTGTTCTTCCTCATTCAGCGAACTTTCCAAATAAACACAACCAGGTATATTCATGAATCTGAAGTATTAACAACATTCTCATATGGTGATTTCCCAATTGGGCAGTTAAGGCCATTCAGTTCCGCATTCAAGATATCATTACGTCAGGGCTCTCTAACCAGTTTCCCACCTCATTCCTCGAAACATGATCCAATATGTATTTACTATTTGCAATAACAACCTGAGCAGTCTGTGGATATTGCCTTTTCTTGTCAGCACTCACTACTACCGAGGTCGGCGAGATATGCCTTATCCGGGTGGTATATAAAGTCAACATGACGGATCACGATCATGATTCCTCCCAATCCTCAAGAGAGCATCACGAAAGCGGCGTCGACAAAAGCCATGAACAAGAAACAATGCGACCACCATCCCACCCTGCCTCACGCACTTTATGGAACTTTTCCACTCAATGGTTCCTGGCCCCGCAAGGTACCGGAATCATAGCTCTAATCCTTCACCAATTGGACTATCAATTTAGCGGAATCGAGGTCATTTCCGTGGTAATCTGGATATACACCATTACCTTGCTTGCGCTTTGCTTGTTTGCCTACCTCCTCCGCATCATCCTATACCCTCGACATGTCGCCCGGGTACTGCGAACAAGTATCGTTGAAACCGCATGCATCGCTAGTATCCCCATTACCTTCACCTTGATTATTCAAATGACCACACTGGTCCTGGTTCATTCGTGGGGAAAGGCGTGGGGAATTGTCTCGTACGTGCTATGGTGGATTGATACGGGTATGGCGGTGGTAGCGGTCATGGCCATCCCGTATGTCTTTGTCAAGGTCCAACCGCCGGGCGTCAAGGCCATTTTACCGGGTGTGTTGCTCCCATTGATTTCCGCATTGACTTCTGCTGCCGGTGGAGGCGTCATCTGCGTATACGGACAAATTAGCCCGCGTCTCCAAGTCCCAGTTATCATAGTCTCATACCTAGAAATCGGTCTTGCACTTCCAATGGCTCTCGGATTGAGTGAGATATTCGCGACTCGTCTCTTCGACCGCTCTTTTCCAAAGCTGGAACAAATATACCAGGATATGATCCTCTGTGGTCCATTTGGCCAAGGTAGTTTTGCATTCCAGGTTCTCGGACAGGCAGTTTCCAGAGGCGCCTTTGCAGAATACAACCGTGGCACGTTCTTGACAGCTCAAGCTGCACAACCAGTTGCCTTTGCGAGCCATCTCGCAGGCCTGCTTTCTTGGGGGTATGGGACATTTTGGTGGTGTTTTGCGATTATCAGCATTGTGCATACATTTATCTCGCAGCCCGGTGGGATCAGGGGGTCGCATTTTAGTATGTCGGCTTGGGCGTTGGTTTTTCCGTGGGTAAGTCATCTCTCACTCTTCGTGCTTATGCAGCGTTGCTTATCTTTTCGCAGGGAGTTTATACAAATGGCGCTGTACAGCTGGGGAGGATTATGGATGCGCCAGCATTCAAAGTGTGGTCTACAGTGCTTTTCATTTTGATACTTGTCATTTGCATTGTACTTCATATCTTCACTATCAAGGGCCTTATTACCGGAAGGGTCTTGGGTCTTGCGCATGGTTGGAGGAAAAGTGCTTATAGGGACGACACTGGTGATAAGGAGGTTTGATATATAGAATGATACGCTACACTGAAGATAAACTTTGAGCTCCTTACTCTTATTCACTGCTACCACATTTGTCGCATGACTCCCTGGAGATATAGCTATCCTTTGCTCTCTTCTTCTCTTCTTCTTTCAGCATCCATCATCAGCATCACGTTTTCCACACGACTATCTATCTCTCATTCAACCAACCCGCAAGACTGTTGGACCCTATCTTGATGAATGATTCATCTACATGTACTTATATAAATACCGTGAATGTAATATAATAATGCATTGGGACCCCCTATAATTGACTAGACTTTAAGAATGATATCCTGAATCTATGATGGACTCACAAGTCCTGGCTTTCCAATGATGACCTGGCCTGTGCACATCACATTGCATCACATTCTGAACATGCCCACTGCATGCAGTGAACAGCAAACCTAAAGATAACATAAGGACTCAAGTACCTATTACATCCACCATCAGCCAGCAGTCTCCCTCCAGCTGGGAGCTGCTATTTGTCAAACTTTTTTGGGCTTTTTCAAACTCTCCAGAAGCTTTTGATAACGATCATACGGACTCCCTGAAACATTTTGAATATGCACCTCTTTACCTTTCCTTGTCCATCCCCGCCCACTGGTACCCAACTTATCAGCGTTATGAACTGACCCTCCCACCATCGGATCCAGCAATGTACTGAAATCCCTGTTTGCCGGGCTAATGAATAATGGGTTTATGATACCCACAGTCCGGCATTCGTTATCCAGGGCTTTTAACTCGTTTTCGGGAGTTGTTTCGGATGGATCATATGAGGAACTATAACCGGCAACTTCGTTGTCCGTACCCGATTTTGAGGTTTCTGATCGCTCTGGGTTGAGTATTCGTCTTTCAGACTCTATTGTTGTTTGTATTTCTCTGGGCGACGGCTTTTCGTGTGGCGTGATATGTAGGGCACGTAGGTGTCTGACTGCGCCTGGGTATACGGATGAAGTTCGACTAGATGTTCTTCTAGCTGCTTGGACAGAATTCCTGATAGAGATAGAAGTGTCCCATAACATATTGGGTGGAATGTATCAGAAATCAGATATGATATTGATAGTGTGAAGATGCACAATACATGTGGCAAAATCTGAACTGTTTGGATGCAGGCCTTTATATAGGGAAGGTTCTCAGTTATTAGATACTATTGTCTGGCTTTATGAAGTCACATTTGAAGCATTGGTAGTCTGGCTACTCATAAAATGGCCCAGAAGCGGGACTGACATCATTTGTACATTTTTCAATGACCATCCAGCCATTCTTCGAGAATGGTCTTCAAGGATGCTCTGGAGTACGAGGATCCCCGCTATACATGTATCGGCTCAAAGTGCATAAAAGTATTGTTGGTCCTCCACCTGCCTAATGAAGAACCAGAACCATGGAACGCGGTAGACCAGTACTTTAATTGGCAACTCAGCGCAGATTTCAACCAGAGCAACATGACTGCTTCCATGTATCCTTTTTCCCCGCATGTAGTTTTAGTGTTTTTGCTTACATTTCATGAAATCATCGTGGCGGCATGAGCCCAACTTAGGACAGCCACCTATATATGACATATATCAAGCAAAGTGGCCATTCGATGTTTTCAAAATCCATAGTACACTACGATTTGGAATTTTATACTATACAGTATACAGATATTGCCATGTCTTTTGCTCTTCTCCGATATCAAATCAAACCTCGCTCCCTTCGGCAGATCAACTTGCTCTCAAGAGCTTGTTATCATGGACAGCAAAAGGGTCAATGTGAGTTGAAATCCAAACTAACTTACACTGCTATTATGTATTGACAACCGACTTTGATGATTTCTTCGTTCACCCCGCATACCCCGATACCACTGAACCGCCCATTTTGATCCTAGACAAGAAAGCACGTGTGATGAAATGGGACGAAGCCAATGCTACATTGAGTGAAGCCTCAGTAATGAATCTTTATCTTGAAAGGAAAGATCGATGCTAATGCATCAAACACAGGTTAAGGCTGACCAGGAGTTCAACAACCAACCGATGAAGGTCCGGGTAACAGAGAAGATCACTGAATTTGAGAAGAACAAGGAGCCAGAATTGGATGAAATGTAGCTAAATTGTTTTTGAGGTCATATAAGTGCTCAGAAAATTGTATTTCAGTATTCCTTGAACCTGAAAAGTTTTTAGGATAGGATGTGTTTTGAAGAATGATTACCCTCCCTTATACGCGAAACTGGATTGTACTTCGTTTCCAAAGTAAAATTCGTGTTGAAAAAAAATTCCTTGGACACCTCACTTCTCCAATCGCTTGAAATAAGCCCTGATCCCTCCATCCGGTTTCAGCTACGTACACCTGGTTATACAATGGAACGCGCTTGAAAAGCGACGCTGGAGGATCATCCCGGTCTAAATAACCCTGAATTCGACCGGCAGCATTACGATGTTCCGGCCAGCTTCCCAGGCAATCGCCTCACTCTCGTAGTTAAAGTGCAAAATGGGGAACACCTTCAGCTGTCCGGAGTCCTTTGCATTTGGGAGAGAAAGCATTGCTCCCGCTCTGAGTGAATGGAAGCAACAATGGTCATCACATTGACCACGCATACGTATCGATTACAATCACCGTTTCAAAAGTTCGCCCAACGAGACCTTTTAAACATTTACCTAAGGAATGGCTAACAGGTTTAACAAATCACTCCCCGAGAAATCCCCAGGAAGCTGAGTCGGGCGGAGGCCGAAAACGACAATGGAAACGATGCCTTTTGGGCTGTAGAGTAGGACATGTCCTGCAGCACAGAGGAGGTCTCAAGTCATTACTCTAGAACAATGGTAAATATAACAAGTGCTTGTCTCCGCCGGGATTTATGCTGGAATTAAGCTTGAGTCCAGTTGTCGACGATGCTAGTATGTCTGTATCGTGTCTGTTCGACAAGAATCTGTTTTTGCATGGAATAATCACATCTGGAAAGCACTTCGCCAATCCAAGTCCTACTCATACGTAGTTGTCGATTAGACGACAATCATAAATCTATCAATGATACTCTCTATATCCACATAGCGCTTCTTACACAAGACGTAGCACAAAGGGAGACAAACAATATTCAAATAACCCAGAAACGAAATCATTACCGCAGCAGCAGCCTTTTTTCAGAATCAGAAACCTCAAGGCTAACAGTAGCCTCCTGTGCAACTCGCTCCATTGTGCTAGCAGTGGAATATTCGTTAGAAATCATTCCTCCAGGGAGTCCATGGAATATCGCAGGTAATATGGACGATTTCCACAGACCCAGGTCATGTTTGCTGTTGACCGAAATCGTCAACAAGAGGAAGATGATGCCCAATAAGATAAGCAGACCCGGTAGGATCAAAAAGGCCCAATCCACGGAAACGTACACCTGAGGTACGTACGCTATGCCTTGGACAGTCTGATTACTTATATCTCGGGCGTATTTGGTCATAGACGCTGCGATGTTGCTCATCACGTCGGCAAAGTTAGGGCCGTTAATACGTTGCAGAGCCAAATCTGGGGCTGTCTTCATGCACCAATGCCACAGTTGGTCTGTATTATTGTAGAGCATACTCAACGTGGTGACTCCGTTTACCCAACTATATGAGGGATCCTCGGGAACTGGACAGCCAGCAAACTGGGCATTCTCCCACAATGTAGATTCGGGTGGCCAATTGTCCTTGGTTAATGTGACATTGACGAGTGCGCCACGCTCAGGTTTCCAACATTTTCTATCCTGTTGTCCGCCGTATTCAATCGCCTTTGAGTCCTTGAATGAATCCCGGTATGGGATAATACTATCATTTCCTGAATAGAATATTTCTCCAAACTCTGGAGAGGATGTTTGGATCGATGGGACGCCCTTGGAGACAGAGACATTGTATGTTTTCACACATGGTGATAGAACACATTTTATGACATGGTTGATTTCCAGTTTCTCTTTGAACTTGGCAGCGGTACTGTTCCAAAGAGGCGAGAGTTCAATATATGAGACAGCCATGAGCGGGCTCCATACTCCCAGAATACTCTGATTTAGATACGGGCCAGTTCGATTATTGACTTTCGCTATTTGTTCGGTTGAAAAATCTAGCACAAAATGGCCACCATAGACGGTGTCTTGCCAAGCGCCCTCGATAGCATTATCAAACCAAGTTCCATCTGAAAGGGTGATGCTGCAAGGTACAACCTGAGCCTCATGGCTGCTGGTGTTGAATGAAGCAATGTCGCAGCCAACAAGAGTAGCTGCAGATGTGACATTTTCACATTTACTGCACCATCCCGCAGACTGGAAAGTAGGCCAGGTACAATTTCCTGAAGGACAGGTTGGGTTTAAATCAAAATTTCCTGACCACAGCCCAGTCTCAATCGCCCCAAAAAAAAGATCTGAAGTAACACCAGGGGTAGGTTTAAACGCAAGAACTGCTTGTTCAACCACTGCAGTGCTAGAGCTGCTGATAACTTGTCTGACAGGAAATCGAAGAACTTGCTGAATAAATGGATCAAATGCTAGGCTGAGGACGGTGATAATAGCCCCAAGCGACAGAACGGAAGATCCCTTACGCGAGCAACGGAGTAATATCATCACTGAGCCCCAAGGGCCGCGACTTGCATCATCAAACGACTGTAGGTCATATACCGGACGCTTCTTTCTACCTTGAAACCATATCCATTTGAGTTGCCCAATCGAGGTTCCGACCATACAGAGTAGAGCGGACTTGGATCCAGTCGCTAAAATAGACACGATCGTATTGAGCGTTAGACCCTTTGGGAAATTGGGCATTGCTTTCTGGTCGTAACTTAACAAGACGCTACAGATAGCGATAAAGCAAGCGATGCTGAAAGTGATTGAAACAATCTCCCAAAACCATGTATCCAGGATCAGGAAGTCACATTTTGAGGCAAAATTCTTCACTTTCGCGGTTGGTTGAGGAACGGATGTATGGAGAGGGATTTCTTCGCCCTCGTCCTCTGCCCTGGTTGTGCTAAATATTCCTTTCGGTCTCATATTAAGTGTGTTATAGAAGGCCAAAGATAAAAAGAGATAAAAGGGGAGAAAGAAGATTGTTGAAAGAAATGTGTTTTTGTACAGCTGATCAGCGACAAGGCTGCGCTACCACTTCCAATCGTCAATCTTTACCCAGATTGGAAGTAATACAGCAAACAAACACATAATCGGTAAACGAGGCTGTAAGATGCACATCTTTTCAATCTCACTATTATCGATGTAATTCAATGCGTCACCATACCACCAATGCGGAGTCAGAAAACAAGATCTTGCCGCTATGATCATGTAATTCCACCACCAGACGCAACAGATGGGACAACAGCGACCTGAAAATAATTACCATCCTAACGAGCAGCTAGCAAGTCTGCAACAGACAGTTCTTCTCACACAGCAGCAACAAGCGCACGCAAACTGCGAGCATAGGGGCAGCCAACAGTTGACCCTCTTCAGGAAACCCTGACCCAAGCTGACAGACCCGGAAGTCTTTGATGGTCATGATTAAATTTTTACCATCAATATCCAGTCAAGCTGCGTGCCAACCTTGAAGTAGATAAGGATGCTATATGAAAGCGACGTATGTGACCAGACACGGTACCCCTTTGGCCGCTTGATGGGCGAGGCTGGGAAAACAGCTACCAAGAGCAAGCCAGATAATATAACGAAGACGGTAACAACTGGTTTTATGATACCAAGGATCCTAAATAGACAGCACCTTGGGCCGGGAGATAAACATGTATCAAAGCACTTCAGCTTCAGAAAAGGGACGGGTTTTAAATTCGGCTACATCTCATTGCAAAGTGAATGGAAAAGAACCAACTGCCCTGCCCATGAGCCAATAACGGCAGAATGGCATATTTACCTCGCCTCTAATAAGCCACAACTACAAAATGTGCGTCTTGCTCGTGCTGTTGGTTATACTAGCCCTGTGTAGATCTATACTACACTGGTCTCATCTATATCACCCTACGACTGTTCACGATGTGCGGTCGACGGTGAGCCGCGGTGTTGTGTTGTACTCTCTGCGTCTGGATGCAATGGCGAGCTCACGGCGTGGCTCTTTTACTCAGTACCCACCCGTACCTCAGAGAGGGAGAACATGTTGAATCATGGGACATATGATATATTATCAACGCAAACTACGTGGATTTCGCTACAATCGACAAGCGGCAATCGACGACATGAAATCCCTAGCCACGGTGGGAGCATTCAACTCGAAAATCTCGATCAATTCTGGCCCCAGCGTGGCTGTTTTCCCTTATGGGGGAGTTGTTTCATGCATCTACCAAGCTTGCGGATGCTCAAGAAGGTTTTATATCTAGTTCGTGAGTTCATTAAGCACTGAATTCGTTATCACGGGGTGTGGTACATGTTTGTGGATGGATGTATTAAAACACATTGCTGTGCATATGTGTATGTACTAGCATCTAACGTTAATCCTAACAATTATATCTCAATATAATGTATACAACATCGGGGTATCCCAAAGATTCATTTAAACAAACAATGCACCCCCCTCCCCCCTCATCCTCAACAGGAAAGAAGCCGCTACCAAATCCTCTTAGCAACCATCTCATACCTCTGCACATGATCAAAACTCCCCTCCTCACTCCCCTTCTTCACCTCCTTCTCCTCATACGCGCGCACCCTCTTCAATCCCTCGGGGTCATCGGCATATACCCACCGGCGTCTATCTTCCCCGACTTCAACGACGCCCCAGCCGCCGATGCGTTTGCTTCCTTCGACTGCGTAGCCGCGGGGCTTTGCGGTTTCGGTGAGGTTGTTTGGTGGGGGTTGGGGGTGGGGGTGGGGATGCGCGCGTTCGTATTCAGCTAGTTTCATACCCTGATACCGTCTGCGGGAGTACGCGAGGAGACCCATTCCCAAGAGGAGTTTGAAGATAAGCAGGACAAGGAAGAGGGTTATTAACAAGATGACGGTGAAGATGTAGACTGATTGTGCAGGGGTTGGCATTGCGTTTGCGAGCACACTGCGGAAGATATTACTTATATGCGCCATCGAGGACGGGACGATTGTTTTCAGTGTTAGTGGCGGTGCTGATTGCGCTGGCGCTGGCGCGTAGTGATTATGTATCGAAGAGAGAGAAGTCGCTTGCATTGTTGAGGAGGGTTGTTGGGGCAGAGATGCGGCGAGGAACATTTTGTATGTTTGTACTGAGACGCGGAAGAAGAGACAGGATAGTGGAATGACGGGGAGACCGAGTCTGCGGGTGAGGTTTTGGTCGCCGAAGGCGTTGGTGTAGTAATCCTTCGTTAGGATGTCGAGGAAGCGGCCGTAGATGTTTGGACGGACGTTGTTGAATTTGTTGATGTAGGCGTGTTTGAGCCAGTCGACTAGCATTTCCGATCCCAAGACGACGAGGAATGGACCGAGGACCTGTAAGAGACTCGGGAGGAAGGTGTTGACTTGGCTAAAGGATGCAATTAGGGAAGATGGGAGGATGGTGAAGGACTGTGGGAGGATAGAGGATGCTGTTCGGGGAGGTGTGGAGAGGGGTGTGCTGTTTGTGCTTGTTGAGGAGTTCCCGCTGATACTCCAGGTTGAGCCTAGGCTGCCGACGAAGTTGAAAGCGCCTGTTTCGACGATGTTGCGCGAGGCGATTATCGTGAGCATGAGCCAGAGTTGGAAGCGCTCGACCACGTCTGCGCAGGTGAGTTGGAAGAGGTTCTCTTTTTCGAATTTCTTGAACACGGTCGATTTGATCTCCACGAACTGGTTGGAGAGTAGGAGTGTGATCAACGCATTCGAGTAGGAGTTAACAGCCACGTTCAGCGTCATGACCTGATAAAACAGCGACGTAGAATGAAGCACCGTGTACGCCAGCGCAAGCAGAAACAGCCCAAACGGACGAAACACCTTACTCCGTCCATCCGGCCGCCGCTCCAGTGCTTCTCGAGAGAACAGACACTCCAACACATCCTGCCCAATAGCACCAAGCAGCCGATCACTGACTTCGAGGACGTTGTAGATCACGTAGAGCTTAATCGCAGCCTGTCCGCGAATCCAGTGATACATCCGACTCGCATCAAACCGCATAAGCACCCAACACGTCACAATCATAAGCAATCCCTTCAGAATATCCGCCTTATCATCCGGAAGCAGCGCAGAGGGAATCGACTTCTGTCGTCGATGATGCCGATACGTCTCGGCCCGATGCCGCCGTCGCGGCTCCGCCGGAGCTCTAGGACGCGATTCTCGCTCAATGGCCTGTTCTTGTTTTGTTCGAAATCTCCCGTCGAGCTCCGGACTGCGTTGTGGTTCAGAACCAGCCGAGATAGAAGCAGCCTTGTTCCTCCGACGCCATACCCGTCCAACACCATTATACACAAACCCCGAGATATACCGGAATTCAACACCGAGATTCACAACCCATGATTCCAGTAGAATGTACAATGCTTTGACAAAACGTAGAGGGAGTATCGTAAATGAATAAAGCCATGAATCGAGACATGCTAGAAGCCCAAACCAGAGCACCTGCTCCACTGCCGGAGGGAGCATTAGAAAATTGACCAATCGTTCAAGTTTCACCCGCGCAGACTCGTATGGAAAGTCGGACGTAGCGGAGCGATGAATGTACAACGGTGACGGCCGGCCAGAAGCAAGCTCTAGTTGCAAGTATGTAGGTATCGAAACAGGCGGAAGGGGTATAGACTGAGGCATAGAAGGTGGGAGAGCCGGCTCCGCTAGCTGGGGTGGTGGCGCGAGGCCATGATTATTATGATTATGATGATGCTTTGGTTCGGGTTGTTCCATGCGAGTTATAGATGGTCGATCCTGTCTGGGGCGTGACGACCAGGTCTGCGCCAGACGCTCATTATTCGAAGAAGCGGGCTTCTGTCGCTGCGACGACGATGCTAACGGGGTCGAAACCGTCCTCGACACATGTGGCCGCCCATTGCGCGATGAAGAAGACACCGGCCTCGTCCCCGGACTCAACGCTTCCGGCAGCTCATCCAGATGAAGATCCTTACTACCCCGAATCTTAGCAATATCCATCGATATCCTCAAATCAGCCGGAAGCTGTAACTGCGGTGGCGCCATCCCATCGCCAGACCCCGACCGCGAAGCCGTCGTATACGTGTTATCAGACATAACCCGTCGACCGTACTCCGGCGAAGCCTCAGGAACCGGGCGAAGCGGAATCGACTGCGGTGACGACGTGAGCTCGTGGATCCTCGACGGCGATAGCTTCAGTATCCTTTCTCCCTCTTTATCCCTGTCTTGGTTTCGTTGCGGAGTGACTGCCCCGGGCCCTTCAATATCCTCCCCAACTGATCCACGATGAGTGCCCTCAGTCGCTTTCGTGCCCTTAGGAGATAGCGGAACGTCCAAATTCCCATTACTGCCGCTGTGATCCGTCCTAGTCTCCCCATTCACAGTATGTGGCTGAAAAATCGAAGGACCATCCACTAAGCTCGTCGTCGATTGCGCACGAGACCGCTTGGGGCGCAATTCCGAGCCGGCTGTTTTCTGTCCTTGGCCTTGTTCCTGATCGTCTTTTTCCTCCGCTGCAGTTGTAGTCACAGGATCCTCCGCGATAGCTTCCATTTTATCTGCTCGCGCTGAAGGAGAGGGGTCCGGTATTGAATGCATCGAATTAGAATCGTCCCATCGCGTGTTCGTATCTGTAGCCGTTGTCTTCTCAGATTCCGTCATATCTGCACAAATCCTGTTACTCAACCCGCGCGGAACACTTTCCTCAGCATTATTTCCACTGTTCTCATTGCCGTTGATGCTCTCATATTCATAATTCCCAGACGACTGGTCGTGTGCTGGCGCTGTGGCTGGAATCGAAGCGGAATCGGAGGCTGAAGCTGAAGCTGGCGGTGGCGGAAACAGGGGCGTAGGGACGGCCATTTAGGAAGGGAGGTGGAAGAGCGATGGCGGACATGGGGTGATTATTCGTAGCAGATGTCGTTCAAAGAGGGATCATTGCTGTAAGTGCGGAATTGTTGTGGAGGGCTGAAAGCTAAATGAAATGTTGGTGTCGCGGTCTGGATCGGTGATGAGATGATGCTCGAGGCGGGCGGGAGGTTGGTTTAATGATAACGGTTCTGATATTACACAGGGAGTGGACAGGTTGCATTATGCATGTCGCATGTTTTTTTTTATGTGTTGTAGATTTTTATTGGTTTTTTTTTTTTTTTTTTTTTTTATAAGAACGTTATTGAATCGATTATCTTATGATATTTGCCTCCTCTCATGCGCCCAGAGAAACTGTGTTTTATATATATCGGGAGATGTCTCTACACATATAACCCTCTCGTTTCCAGTCAAGTAATAGATTGCTTATCATAAGATACAGGGTATTTACAGCTCTCTATCATAACAAAATGAATAGAAAACAGGTGGTCAGTTCAGGTCATCATATGCAGAAGATTAAACCAGCTCTTCCAACGCTCACGCTCATTTAAGGAAACAAAAAGGAAAAAGGAAATTCTTTTGTGTGCAACGAGAAAGTCACCAGGACGCTATCAGAAGTTGCCGTCGTTGCGGTAGGGCCGGAATGGCTGTTGTCCGGAGTCTTGTCCGGTGTATGTGTGGTAGGCAGGAGAGGTTGTTGGTTGGATTGGTTTTTGGGAGGTCATGGAGGGATCGAAGGCGTGGTAGTTTCCACCGTTAGGCTGAGGGGATTGGTTCATCGGGGTGAAGGTTCGTTCGGGATACGCAACCGGTGCGACGGCAGGAGAAGCGCTTCGATTGAATGGGGTGAATGATGGCATTGGATAACCGGGTTGTGCAGTTGCACTTGGAGCAACCGGGGCAAAGGTACGAGTCGGATAGTCCGTCTGTGCTGATGGTGAGATGACAACACCAGGAGTCATCGATCGGCCATACAGATCAGGAGCCGCAGTGTGAGACCGGTACGGAACCGGATTAGGAGGTCCATAAGCGCCGTAGCTACGCTCCTCGGTCATTCCCCGGTATCCAGGTGCTGGGGTAGACCGGGCCGTGGTGGGTGCGGGAGTGAACCGTGAGGGCGGTGGTCGAGTGGTAGGCGTGTTTGAGGGCATAGGAGGGATGTTGACTGGTAGAGGGGGTACAGGTGGTGCTGGTGACGGTCCGCGGTCCAGAGGACTGTATGTCGAAACTGCGGTAGATTCGGAGAACGCAGACGTCTCAGTGGCCGTTCTGCTTAGCCCGGGATGCTCATCGGACCACGACAGGTCAGGAAGTGCAGGGTTGCGGTCTGCCGCTGCAGTTCCCGGACGCGAGGGCAACGTTGTTTGAGTCGTCGAGCGAGAGATCGTTGTCACGATGGGTCCCTTGTCTTCACCCTTCCCAACAGTTGGCAACGTTGGTTTGACACTCGCACCCATGTTTGGCTGTGTCGGTGCTCGGTCTTGCAGAGCCATTCCCTTGGCTAACGCCTTGTTAACCTTTACCTTGACGATGCGCATCACACGGGTATTGATCTTGCGGCGACAATAAGCTGTCAAAGTACCATCGCGCGACGGGATGTGGTGAAAGAGGAAAATCAGGTAAAGAGCGATAGCGATCAACAGTTTGATGACGGACAGAACCCAGATGACCAAGGTGAACAACATGGAAAACAGGACCACGGCTCGCAGGTTATTGTTTACTGCCAGGATCCTCACATTCTCAAAGAATTGCGCGGCCCCGCTGTCATCGGATTTCTCTGCGTTCTTTCCACCAGGGAGAAGGTCCATCTGCATCACAGAATACAATGTCATGGCATTGACGACTTGACGCGGTCCGTCGGCAAAAACAGTGTTCATCCAGGCTGCATAGTCAGTACGAGTCCACAATCACGGGATACACAGACTCACACTCGAACGAGAAATAGGCAAACAAAGCCACATATTCCGCCCCCTTCTTACTCTTGGTCAACTCCGCAAACACCAGGAAGCGTTTCCATCCGCGACCTCTTCTTCCCGGTCGAATACTTTGAATGCGGACAGCGAGAGAGTTGAGGTAGCTGCGTGCGATACTTTTCGAGCGGATGGCGCGGATGGCAACCATCCATCGGTAAATCAACAGAGCGAAGGAGATGATGATACAGACGGCGTAAATCCAGCGTGAGATATGAAACGGGATGGTGGGTTCGATTTGACCGGCCCATCGAGAGAAGGCCAGGAGGTTAACGGCAGTAAAGGTATCGACGCCATACACGGCCAACGAGATGATGAGAAAGAACCAAAGGAAGAAGTAAGAGAAGGGTGTTAGGCAGGATTCAGACTTGAAGTCGTCGAGGTTCTAGAAATGTCATGGTTAGTCTTCGTTGTCGCATAGCAATTGAAGCTACACTCACCACATAGTCCCATTTCTCCTCAAGAGAAATCGGTCCCTTTTCACGATCACCACAGCAGCGCATCTTGCAAGTAAAGTCCCGACCCAGCAGGGAAAACGGCCAAGGAACGTTTATAACGAATGTAAAGAGAAACAGTAGTGAACGATGTAAAACGACTTTCGCGGACCAGCCGGACGAAGTCGCGATCGCAACCAACAATGACAGAAACAACAAGCAGCAGCAGCAGCAGCAGCAATCAATGCGCTGAAGAGAAAAAGCGCTGGGGAGGATATTTTAAGAATATCTTATAAACGACAGCTGGGGGAATAATGAACGACACGCAAAAACGATGGAGAGTTGGATCAACAATGCATGGCCACTGGACGGTCGGAGCGAGGATAGTGAGAGACAGCTGGACAAGGTGAGGTTTCAAGAAGGCGCTAGACAATCAATGCTTTGGCGCCGCGATGGAGAATAAGTAGGAGCACAACAGCCTGCAGGACCAGGATGGCCGGCGCGTGCGACCCGTGGGGATAGTGTGGGCTTATAGAATGAATGGACAGGGCTGGAGATAATAAAGAATGAGAAATGAGTGAATGATGCCTGAATGAGTGACAGAAGCAATGCAGGCAAGTCAGAAACAACCAAAGAATGAATGAAGAGAGTGAATGAAGGATATGAAACAGAGGGGTCCCTGTACACACTGGTCATAACAGGGCTGATTTTGAATGTGAAACACTCCCATCCATATCAATGCCCCTGACCATTCTTGGCTGGCAGAGACCCGTGGTTCCTCAATGCTTAACCCGTCTACTGAGCTATTCTTGTAGCTACAGAGTACAGAGTACAAAGTATAACTACCTATAACTACCATCACTGTGCAGAATATCTAGTTACTTCGTAACTAGTTAACTACTTGTAGGCATGCATAAGCGCCACTTGGACCAACAACCGTGTCAGACCCGGAGGAGACCCGCGATCGACCCTCCTCAAGCAATCCGTCCCACACTAGCATTTCCCGGTGTTTCCCGTTTCTTATCAGGTAGGTATCGGCAACCTCGGTTACGTGGGGCACGTGCTCATCCACAATTTATGCACATTATGCATATTGTACATATCATGCACAAGTGCGTACCCTAATGGCATCGCAAAGAGTCTAGCTGGCAGAACTTTTATAGACACCATGGGAAGTGAGTTCCCAGGCAAAGCGTTGTTGGAGTAATCAGTGAGAAGGGACTCTCTGGGAGAGAAATAGAGGGCCTAGTTGACCAGTGAATACAGAATTGTCCTTGTATGTAGTTATGTACATTCCAGATATGGATTTTGGTACTATGAAGACTCGTCAATTACAGTTTCATCTTCGGTCGAATTAACCCCTAGGGAAACCCAATGGTGTTAGCGAATAGGCATCCCGAATAAATACAGAGAGCGCGTCGAAGTGAAGAAGCTGAGAGGAAATGGCGGGTCCCTCTTATTGCTCCCTCGTAAAGTGTCCAGGAAGATCGCTTACCTCCTGCATACAAGTAGCAAGCAAAACACCGTCACCCGACCAAATTCTATGAACAGCCAACGCTCGATCCTTCCCTGCCCAAGGACTTTCCTGTTCAGAGGACATCCATTGGTCTGCGCGCACAGCTTTGGACTCATGGAAATGAACCGTATGATTCCGACTCGCAGCCACTCCTAAATCCTCGTACTTCGCATCATCTTGGACCCCCGTAACAACACCGAGTAAGTATGCGTCAGTTAGGAAAGCCAAGGCTGCAAGATGAGATTGCACTTTATTCTCGTGTATAGGTCCTTTGGCGCGCATCCAGTAGCGGATCATCGTGTCGGCAGGGTCATCGGAGTATTCTACCCCTTGTTAGAAGGAAGCTTGTACGGAAAAGCAAAATAGTCAAAGGTAACAGACTGTTCAGAATTTTTCCCGTTTGGATTTCAAGAGGTCCCTCTACTTCATATGTCTCCATTTCGGCCTGATCCGGCCGGCTCAAACCGGCCGGCATCTTTTTCCCATGTTCATATGGAGCACCGCCGCCTTCTCTCCCCGTTATTCCAACTGCGGATGCAAAGCTCACTGTCGCGGTAGCAATGATCTGTCCGCCCTGGAATCCTCGAACCATGCGCGTCGCGAAATTCTTGCTTTCGTGCGTCCTTTCCACGTGATATTCGATCGGAATTTTTGATTTGCCAGCATGAAGGAAGCAAGTTTGCAAATGGTGGAGGGTCGCTTTGTAGTACTTGCAGCTGCGACGACAGCTTTGTAAAATGAATGAGTTACCCTGCTCCGGGCAGGAAATCGGTTGGGCACATGTATAGAAAAGAAGAAACTCTGCACTCATACTTGGCCGAGAGTGAAATATCAGTTCCTGATACTTGTTGTGGCTTAACTATATACGCGATAAGATCTAGGAACGATGCACTGTCACTCATTGAAGACAAATTGTCATTTCGGGGGGGGGGCTATATACATTTGGATAAATGGCCCCTGTTTCAAGATTGCTCCCGAATTGGCGTCAGCAACTCCCCATGATCTAACGCATGTTCAAGATTCCGCAATGCCAGCAACTCCATCTCCCGCTTAGTCTCAACAGTCGTCGTGCCAATATGCGGAAGAAGCATAACACGGTCATTACTGATAAGGCCAAGATGTACTCTGGGCTCATCTTCATAAACATCCAATCCTGCAGATAGAACCTTCCCGCTGTTTAAAGCATTCACTAGCGCTGCTTCATCGATTAGAGAGCCTCGCGCGGTGTTGATCACCACAACACCATTTTTCATTATCTCGAACTGTGGCTGCGAAAGAGTATGCCGCGTTTCTGGGGTAGCTGGGAGGTTGAGACTCAGTATGTCCGACGACTGGAGTAACTCGTCAAAAGTGACATAGGTCGCTGACCCTGATCACGGTTAGAATGATGCCATAGTCATCGTGGCTGGTAGTCTCACCCTCTTTATCTTTGGATAGTCTCGACCGATTGTGGTATATTATCCTCAGTCCGAATGCGCGAGCTCGATGAGCTAGGGCCTTTTGACGTTAGCTACTTGCTGAAAAGGGGAATAAAACCAACCCTACCTGACCAATGGCTCCCATGCCGAGTATACCAAGAGTCTTACCATAAGGATCATGACCAAGAGGTGCTCCCTCCTTCCACCTTCCATCCCTTAGTGCTTGCAGAGGAATCATTGCATGTCGCAACGCCCCCAGGAGCAAGAACATCGCCACATCTGCCGTGGCATTCGCAACGACGTTCGGGGTATTCGAGATACGAATGTTCCGCTCCGTACAGGCAGATATATCCATACCATCATACCCAGCGCCATTGAGACCAATATACTTGAGTGAATCCGGTAGTGATAGGACTAGTTCTTTGTCGAACGGTCCGGTCTCTTTTGTGGAATTGGTGCGGTAGAGGCCGGCAACATGATTGAAGTTACCCTGTTTGCAATTCTGGAGGAACTCATTCCTGATCCCTGTGAATTGAAGCACATCATACTTGGTGCGGAGGCGCTCACACTCCTGCTGAGTGTGCTGGAGACTTCCGACCAGGAGAAGACCTGGCCTCGCCAGTGCAGACATTGTGAATTGTCTAACAGTAAAATGTGAACTTAATGAAACACTGGAAACATTCGAAGAGGAGATCTGTCAGTTGTTAACACACGCGTATACGCCGAGAGATAAGATAGGCGACTCGTACCGAAGCGATTAGAGCGTTATAACTCCCGGGGAGAAATTTCGGGCACCGAGTGTGTACCGTACTGTATCTGACAGATGCAAATTTCAGTGAAAATCGGTTATTTCTCATTCTGCGCTGGGGTGTTTCCTATAAGATAAATCGTTTCAATGCTTCGCGAACCCCTCACTATTCGGAGGATCCCGAGAATGCGGCCGGCAAGCCGTGCATTGGCCGAAATATATATGTGCAGGAATCGGCGAATCAGCACGTTGCCGATCTCAACTATGAGCAAGGACTCGCATAAAAGGTGCAATAGTCCAACATTCACAGATTGATGGGACTGACAGTTAGCGAGCAATAATAATGTCCCGATTTCAAAATATCATCGACCCACCACCCGACGCTGCTTTCTCTCTGGTAGAAGCATACGCACGAGATACATTTCCGCAGAAAGTCGACTTGTGCCCTGGATTCTATCGTGATGAGAACGCGCAACCTTGGATACTTCCTTCAGTTACCCAAGTAAGTTTTTCTTTTTCTTGTCGTGGCACGCCTAACGTCAAGAAATCCCCAGGCAAAGAAGCTTCTGCACGACGACCCAACCATCGACCATGAGCATCTGCCTCTTTCCGGCCATCCTGGTCTCGTGTCAGGTGCAAGGCGACTAGTCTTCGGTACCGAAAATATTGATGCACTCGACCGAATTGCCTCTATCCAGACTATAGGAGGAACCGGAGCAAACCACCTGGGAGCGCTGTTCTTGTCCAAGACCCTTCGACCTGCGAACGCCTGGATTCCTGACCCGAGTTGGATCGCACATCCCCAGATCTGGGAACAGCTGGACAGCAGTACTAGCGTCTGCTTCTATCCGTACTTCAACAAGAAAGACTATTTGTTGGACTTTGGTGGCATGGTCTATACTTTGCGGAACGAAGCATCTGAGAATGATGTCGTGGTACTGCACGGCTGCGCTCATAATCCGACAGGCATTGATATGACTGAACAACAATGGAAGGAAGTCGCCGCTATTTGCGCGGAAAAGCGTATATTTCCTCTCATAGATCTTGCATAGTGAGTTCCAATTCCGAATTTATTCTGACAATCCAAGTCTGACGTCCATAAAGTCAAGGCTTTGCCACGGGAGACCTTGACAATGATGCCTCGCCTATCAGAATGTTGTTGAAGCGCGGGGATGTCGAGTTCGCCGTGGCACAATCGTTCTCGAAGAACTTCGGCCTATACGGTGAGCGTGTCGGGGCACTGCATCTCGTTACACTCTCAGGCCAAGCCAAGACCAAAGTGATCGGACAGTTAGAGCGACTGCAGAGATCGGAGATAACGACTGCTCCGTCATACGGTGCTAGGATTGTCTCGATTGTTCTGCAAGATGAGGCCATTGGCCGACAATGGCAACAAGACTTGCTTCATATGAGTGGCAGAATGCAAGCCATGAGGGAAAGTTTGTACGAGCTGTTGACGGAGCTCAAAACACCAGGCTCCTGGGAGCATCTTGTGTCTGAGGTATGTATCTTTCGGTCGTGTATATTCTACGAACAATACTGACGATGTGTCTGTGTCGCAGAAGGGAAAGTTCTCCCTCACTAGTATTTCTCGACAACAGGTCAACATACTGAGGGAGAAGTACCATGTGTACATGCTACCCTCAGGGAGGATTTCGGTCACTGGATGTAAGTCTGCTTTCAGGAGACTGTTTGTTTACCGTATATTAACGATGCCAGTGACGGAGTTCAATGTGAAATATGTTGCCGAGTCTTTTAACAGTGTGATAAGAGAAACTGCCTCCTTCTAAACCAGTGGATTCGAATCACAGCTTAGGGCTGGGACCAGGTGATATTTTAGCTCGGAATCTGATCAAAGTAATTGATTGATTCTGGATATCAACCATTGTCAATCCTCATTTTTGGGGAATGAGAGCAGCGTAGGAACCTTGCGGTAATACTGTATTCGTAGTGAGCCTGCGGTGAATCACCTGAATTATTCTCGTCTTCCTGGATCATGCTTTCCCTTCGTCATCTCTCTATGGTCTAACCAGTATCAGCTGGTATTTGTTCATATTCAATCCATTACTCTGTTAAGTGCTATTCGTGGTACATCACATGACACATTGCCAAATCATGCTGTCATTCGCAGGCCTGCCTCATATTGACGGCATTCCATCCAAGGAGACCTCTATCTCGATCTTGCTAATGCTCGTTTCCTCACTCCAACGGCGAATAGGCTGACCCTTGAGTAGCCCAAGCTGCGAACTCGGTCCAGTGAGCGGGACGACGCAGAGCAAAACAATGTCACGCTCGTCGTCTTCGTCGTCTCAATCCAAGGCCTCATCTGCCTTTTCAGGAACGACGCAAGGCAAGATCATTGAGTTAGTTGGTGATAGCTGCTGGTTTTGCGGAAGTATTCCGGTCGACGCGTGCCATGTTATTGCTCAGAAGGACCCAGGTGTATGTGCCAGTCACTCATATCGTCCGCCAGTCCGACTCTGTGTTAACTCTTCCAGCTTTCAACGATCATAGAGCAAAAGCTGTTGTTGACATCCCTCAGGGACGTCGAAAATGGCATCGGTCTCTGCCCAACATGTCACAACAATTTCGATACCACCCCAGACCCACGACTCGTCATCGTACCAACCGATTTAGACTTCTTCATCAACTTCGAAGAAAAAGACTACCGAGAACGAACGCTCGCAGCCAACGGAGGATTCTCCGTCCCCCGCCAATGCCCTACAAAAGACCAATACAAAGACCACCAAACAGCAAATGGAACAATCCTAGAAGGGAGCGGCTTATACGAACCATACATCCTGGTCAGATTCTACGCAAGCGGATTCGAGCCAGACCTCTCCCCGAGACCATGGCACGGCCAACCAGTGCACATAATCCGGCGCGCGTTTATCGCGCTTGGATCCCTGAATTACCGCAAGTTGCCGGGCGACGTGTCAAACAAGCTTCGCACGTTGCTGGAGCTTTATACGCGACCGCCGCCGCCCATGCAGGAACCTGATGTGGCTGCAGGACAGGAGAAGCCGGGGAAATTGCTCCGCTCTAATGATGACTTGGACACATCTACCGCAAAGAGGGAGCTGAGTGGACCACAGGCGTTTTTAAGTGGTGTTAGATTGGAGCGGAGGGGGCGTGAGTCGCAAGGGCATACTGATCATAGTATGTCGGCCTTTACACTTGGGCCTGAGTGTACGGCCCTAGATGCTATAACCATGGTTATGTCACGTCGCCAGCGAGTTCTATAATTTAGTAGCCTTCAGGCTTTTACAAGAGTGTCTGGAAAGCATGTTTTTCCGTGTACAAGTAGTCCATTTTATATCTGTATTGACCCAGAGAAACCGCGATATGTGAATATCATTCTACACGGATCTGTCAATGCCTACATATCTCCAAGTCTTGCTTGAGATTTTCTTCTCGGGTGAAAATGCATTAAATGTGGCGAATCAAAGCCATCTTTGTTGTTGTTATTGCAGAGCCTCATTTAAGCGGCGGACTTCAGTCCTCTCACTTTATATACTATGATTGGTTGTGCCCTGGGTTTCCCAAATCAGCGGTTATGTGATTGACTGTCACATCTACTCTGGAGCTTTTCAAGTATGTCAATCTGTATGCATACAAGGGCGATGGTGGCAGGAATGTTTCCTCTTTCATAGCGAAATATGCACGCTGGATATTTATCTACACTTCCTGCCATAAAACTACGGATAATTATGTTCGTAAGTATATGCATACACGAATGAGGCGTGACGTGGACCACTGTCTGTTCAACTGTACTACGGCAATACGTTTATTATTTTAGCTTCTTATCTTCTGTACATTGGGGCCCCCGGCGTCTACTCTGTTTTATTTGACTGTGTTTCTAATTCCCATGGATGTTTGTCAGGCAAGGTATGAATATGCTGGTCAGCATTGGATACCACCGTTGTACCAGATGCAATGCATGAGATAAATCGGGAACTGTCAGTCTTGGTTGGGTCCGACCAGGACCCAGCATACGTGTAGATACATATTTTCTTTTTCTGGTCTACGATTGGGATATCCCTGCGTTGTGGATCAGCACATATATACATGAAACTATATATAAACCTAACGGAATCATTCATGTCCATCCTCACTCATCCTCGTAAGCCAGCATCTGATGCCGTGCCAACCTCGCCACAAGCCGTGCCTGTTCCCCGAATCTCTCATCCCCAGCAACAAACTCGAACTGTTCCTTCCACTGCTTCCAGTGCTGCATACTCCACATTTGCCTCGGACCATCGATATCATCCTTCTTTCTACATTCCTGATACACATATTGACCTTGCCCAGGCCATAAAACCCACTGTGCGCCTGCGATTACATCACCACCAACTCTATTCGGTCCTCCTACCTTGCGTTTCTCGAGGTCGGGATAGCTCTGGCTGGATGGGAGAATGTCGGCGAGGGCGCAGAGGACGCTGCAGTTGATCAGCCCCGACGAGGTGAGTCGTGCGATGGCAGATTGGAAGTTTCGCCAGCGAAGTTGGGTTTCGCTTCCGGGTGTTTCGATATTGGAGTATGGATAGGAGAATTCTATCGTTGTCAGTTATAGTTCTTCATCGGTTGGAGCTAACATACCATATGTCTCTATTCGAAACACTTCAGCCAATGCCATCCAGTTTCCTCCAAATGGCCATAATGTGGTGGTGTTATAGGGCTCATCGGAATTCTCAGGGGGAACACCCTCATACACATCATGCTTGGGCATATCCCGCAGCGCTTCAAGAAATTGGATAATTTTATCTTGTTTCTCGTGATGCGGTGGGAAAGCAGAGCACAGCGTGGCAATCCACGGAAAGACAAGCTCGATATTTCCGCTGGGGTTCGGTGCGATCGCACGGGTACTGGGCACTCCGTTCTCTTCCTCTTCGACCGTGAGACTTCTGGGATCAGGCCGTTTGAGGAGCTCTACGTGGCATGTGTTGGCCTCCTCGACGACGCACGAGTCAAAGTCTGTAGCGGCTTGGGATGGTGTCACGTCGCCGTTAAGCAAGGCCTCGAGTTTTCGTTTCCAGAAGATGTCTTCTTCGTCATCGTCGTCGCTGTAAAGCTTCGGATCAAGAGATTGGAGGCCGGGGTCTTGTGAAGCCATTTTGTTCGATTGTATGATGGTTCTTTTAGTATAGCTCACGGGGTGATAGCTTGGGAAGGACCAAGAACAAAGTTTTTTATCTTAAGAGCAGCCTGAAATGGTTATATATAAACACCGCTACCTCGCATAATTTGACATCACGATGCATTTGGCCCCAGGGGCCTGTCTAGGATTGGTTGGACGAGATCAATTAGGGTCCATGGCGATCAATGGGGCTATGTCAGGCACCTGCAATGGATTCCTGTTTTTATACGCCAGTCCTGAATGCCTCATCTTGGCCTCCTGTCTACAGATGTAATGATCGGAGCTTCCAGGAATACTATTCCAGTAACCAATTTTATCATGTACTGTTTTTGCCCGTCAGATCCAACATCTGCCAGCTTAAGCCCTGAAACGAACTCGCTTTTGTAAACTTGAATCCTTCTCTAGTAATCCCATCATACGATGGCAAGGAAAATGTACCTCACCAACAGCTATGAAGGAACCATGGTCCTCCGTCAGTGACATCTTCCATTCATCAAGACAATCCAGTTCAGAATCAATCAGACTTCATCTTCCCAAACAACCACCATGCACTTCTTCAGGGCTTTTCTTCCTGTCGCCCTCGTGGCAGCCCCCTTCTTTGCTACTCCCGCTCCTGTTGAGGGGGTTAGGAAAGCAGCATCGACGACGTCAAACATTCTTCAAACTAGAAAGCCCGCGTTGTCAGTTTCTCCTCTTTAACATCCCAATATCCATGATAGCTAACACCATCCAATCCGAGTGGGTTACCTACCGACCCACCAACAACGAATCCGGTACCCGATCCTTCAGAGTCAACACGGCCGATGCAAGCCAGCACAATTCACAGATAATGAAAGAAATGAAGAAAAGAAAGCGGTAGTTTGCTATGATGGATATCCGAAGTTTTGGATATTCCAAGATCTATATAGTAAGCCCGCGAAGCAAGGGCGCCATTAGATTAGGCCCCAGACCACTGTTTTCTGCATCCTGCATGTTCGACACCCGCTGAGAAACATGGGGTTTCTGCAGAAAATGAGACCTGGAAGACATGGTTGCCTGGAGATGGCGGTATGCTCAGATACGACCGTCATTAATCTAGGCACAAGCGTCCAGTCACCTGGGGCAAGCGCATCCAGCTCACGTAGGAAGTCCCCTATGTTCCCAGCGCATGAAGCAGGATATAGCTAGCTGCTGCCTCAGCTCTGCTTCTTGATTCAACATGCCATGGCACTCAGGTGCTCGTCTGTATGCAACTGAAATCCGCGAAGGGCACCACCACTAGCCACTCCTATTGGATTCTTATATGGCTTTTCCATAACCTAAAGAAGTATGTTAAGATCAAGTGAGGCGATACAATCTTATTGTCATGTGATTGGTCATATTGCTTTTTTCAGGAGATATCAGATGGAACCGAATCATGTCAAGGTAATTACCTTCATGGCAAACAATCATTAACCTTTTGCTTGTTTTTGTTGAAGCTAATTCTCAACTGTGTTGTTCTACCAACTGCATGGTTTCTCATACCTGGTGCCGTTGCTTGAATTGAATATCTCGGTCCAGAGTACCCCGCGCCATTTGGCCGCATGCACCCCGGTCACGGCTCCTGCTGTAAGAAGGCACAAACATCCCCTTTGTTATAGAAAGACGCAGCAATATGAGTTTTGGCTATAGCATTGGGGATTTTATTGCCGTTCTCAGTTGGCGAACGATTTCAGGAAGAGATTCATAAATGCGCCGGGCCACTTCAAAGCCTTGCCCGAGGAGTAGGTAAACTAGTCAAACTCGTCGTCAGGCCTTCTCTAACCCAAGAAAAGCGTGAAAGGATTGTCGAATGTTCTTTGGGATGTGGAAGATTTCGAGCTGGAAACCGGTCTGCCTGGCCAGAAGAGGCAACGCTTGAATGAGATATCGCAAGATTGTCATGAGGCTCGGCATCAAAACAAAGAAACACAACCTACTGCTGAGGACCTCTCTAGAGCATTATTTGACGTTGCTGTTGGTTTCTCGCGTGTGTTCATATCGGTGGATGCGCTCGATGAATGCCAGATCCCCGGGAGTTCCATGGTCAAATTTCTATCTGAGATTTTTGCTCTGCAGAGTCGACACAACATCTCCTTCTTTGTAACTTCAAGATACAGTCCGAGACTCGCAGCTGCCTTGGGGGCAGCCTGGAGCAAGATATTCGGGCCAATGCGGAAGACGTGCATACATATCTTCAGGGTCATCTACATGAACTACCATCTTTCGTATCCTAAAACCATGATTTACAGAAAGCTATCATTGATAGAATCACTGAGACAGTCGATGGAATGTACGTGCTCTGTTACCTAGGAGCAAAACGTTGAAAAATGATTCTAACGTTGATAGGTTTTTCCTCTCTCATCTCCACCTTGGTTCGTTATTGGGAAAGCGGTCGCCAAGAGCCATAAGAAATGCCCTCCAACAGCTCCAATCTGGGTCAGAGGCAATTGATAGCGCTTATAAAGAAGCTATGCAGCGAATTCAGGCCAGGTTCCTGATCAGAGAGATCTGGCGTTGGAAATACTCTCATGGATCACATGTTCCCAGAGACCGCTTAGTGCAGTAGAGCTCCAGCATGCGCTCGCTGTCGAGATAGGAGAGACTGTATTTGACCCAGAAAGCCTGCCAGACATTGAAGATATGATCTCCGTTTGTGCGGGTCTGGTAACAATGGATGAGCAGACCCATGTCATTCGATTAGTCCACCATACGACACAAGAATATTTCGAAAGAACTTGTCAAACTTGGTTTTCGAATGCACATCATAATATTGCTCAGACGTGTCTCACATATCTCGGCTATGATTTCTTTGAATCAGGAACGTGTGTCAGTTATGACGATCTGAAACTGCGCTTGCAAGCCTACCCACTTTATAGCTACTCCTCGATCAACTTGGGCTATCATGTCCGTCACCAGCCAGTTGACACGGAATTTTTCTTGGAGTCTTTGACGAGCAATAACAAAGTTTCAGCATGCTCTCAAGTACTTTTGAGTGCACGTGCCATTGGATGGAGTCAAAGGCTTTCCAAAGATGTATCTCTTGTTCACTTGGTCGCATGGCCCGGACTGGAAGATATCCTGCACGATCTTATCGAGATTGGCATTCCTTGTAACAGCGAAGACTCGAACAAGCGCACTCCTCTTTTCTGGGCAGCCACAAACGGCCAGGAAGGAATGGCCAGGAAGTTACTCGAAGCAGGCGCTGATCCGGATAACGAAGACTTAGAGGCTCATACACCGTTGTTTTGGGCAGCTGAAAATGGCCAAGATGCAATTATCAGGCTTTTATTACAATATAATGCCAATCCGGACAACAAGGGAAACAGTGGCTCAACATCTTTATGGCGGGCAGCCCGTTTTGGACGTGTTACGACAATGAAGCCCTTGCTTGAAGCAGGGGATAATCCAGAGCATAAAGCAACGCCCTCGGCCTCACTGCTTTGTCCGTGGCATGTCTGATTCCCCGTTCCGATATTGCCAAGCTTCTTTTGGAAGGGAATGCCAATCCGGACTGCAAAGAACAGTTTGACTGGACGCCACTGTTTAGTGCAGTCGAGCACGGGAATGTTGAGATTGTCCGTTTGCTGCTTGACCATGGCGCTAATGTTAACGCCAAGAATGAAGTGGGCTTGATTCCGCTCTCGTCCGCTACAGAGAAAGATTCTCAAACACTGGTGACTATGCTCATGGAGAATGGTGCTTGTCATGTCGATGGCCATTTTAAACATCCAGAACAGTTGTTTGTTGCTGCATACTGTGGCCAAAGTAAATATACCAAGTTCCTGCTTCAAATTGGGGTTGATGCAAATATGACAGAACAAGGCTATTCAGCATTGTCAATAGCAGCTTGGTCCGGGGAGGTCGAAGTGGTAAAGCATCTACTAGACCATAATGCTGAGATTTATTACCAAGTCCCTCACTCTGGCACGACAGCAGTTTTCGCGGCCGCTTCCGGATCATACAGTGAAGTCGTCAGACATCTCTTAGAACGCGGAGCCAATCCTAATATTAAGGACAACTACGGGCAAATGCCTCTGTTCATTGCGATAATGCAGGAAAATGACAAAGTGGCCAACATATTATTGGATGCAGGAAGCAATCCAAATGCCCGGGACATTTATGGTCGAAATCCGTTAATGTAGGCAGCAGCCATGGGTCATCAAGTATTTTCAAGTTCACTTCTACAAGCCGGCATCGATTTTGATATCGTAGACACCACCGGCAGGACGCCTCTTTTGAATGCTGCAGCGGGAGGTAGCCTCAAACTCGTTCAAATGCTACTTGATATGAAGGCCGACCCGGCCCAGATGGATAAGTATGGCCGTGACGCAGCATATGAAGCGAGCAAGAGAGGACATCGCGGTGTTGCAAGAGCCCTGCTGTGTAATACAGACGAAGAAAATTCCAGCATCAAAGATACATCGCTGAGCGGAGCAAATGACCTCAAAATATCACAGGGCCAGAAAATTTGTGATATATGCACAGTAGGGGTACCATATGGTGAACACTATTTCCACTGTGGGATCTGTCAAGGTGGTGACTTTGATATCTGCCGATACCGTGAAGAGAGTGGAGTCTCTTGCCTTGTGGAGGGTCATCAATTCACCAGATGTGTGAATTGAATGAAGACCATATGACATTGTGCCTTTACTATTTTACGCTATACATATTATTTTAAACCAAAACCCAGTACATACGACCATAGGGTGTGGAAAACAGGGCTTCCCGTCCGCTCAGCCGTACTTAAGCCACACGCCGGCCGGTTAGTAGTTGGGTGGGTGACCACCAGCGAATCCCGGCTGTTGTATGTTTTTCTTTGTTTTATTTTTTTATTGTCTCACTGAGCAATACTTATTTTTACCCTTTTCTCTTTGCTGCTTAAGGGTGATGGCCAGGTGAGTTTGCGTATTTAGCAGGAAATCCGGGTTCGACACTTATGAAACGGCGATGAAGCCGAGCACAGGGAGACGTTAACTATAGACTGCCCGGTCCTTCCACCCATGGTATGTACAGAGTAGTAGTCGATGCTGCAGACCCTAGAACCCCGCATGGCTCGGGGTCATGTTGTGGACATTGAGCATCAGAGCCGTCTTTGCCATCCCACTTCGACATTCGCGTGCGTGGTTAATAGTACAATGGCTTTCGGCAATTGAAGTGAACCCTGCCACGGGCAGCGAATGAGGCGGATGACTGACTCCGCGCAATGCCTCCACCAAAAAGTCTAAATTACCATCTTGGCTTCCTCATCGGGTTTAACGTTGATACCGTACATTGTGATCCGTATATCAGCGCAGGTCCGTTCCTATATCGTTCGTTACCGATCAGTCAGCTATTATGACGCGACTATCTCTCCCGAGTCAGCCAGTTCAGGTCGCATGGACTGTATCCCTCGCCAGATATCTACACCGCAAGGCCACAAATCGCACGAAACGCTCGAGAAATTGCATGTCATGGAAGTGCAGGAGGTGCAATTGACAACCCCCCAAACCCATTATGTCTTTCTGGGGCCACATGACGAGAGCTACAGTGGCCCATTATCGGGGTCTGTGGAAATCATCATTGCCTCGTCCAATATCGACTCTTCCGACTACCCCAAGCTCAGTGTCAGGCTTACACGCACAGTTGCCTTTGAACGTCGATGTGCCGCTATGGCTCCTCGGCGTAGCAGTGGTTTCTTTAAATGCTTGCGACGACGAAGGGTAATCCAAGCTCAGCTTACTCCTATCCGAGGGCAAAGTGCTTCGAGCACCGAGACGATAACCCGGTGTGATCTCTGGCACACGCAGCACCACGTGGAACATCATCAGGACCGGGGAACGACGAGCTTGAAATTCAACTTCGGGATTCCTGTTCCTTTTGATATCCCCCCGACGACGGAAACGGTGCTAGGGACCGTCTCATATATGATTACAGCGACATCCACGTCCACAATTGGGACGACAGCAACAGCGACGCGACCGATTCAAATACTACGGCGTGCTATTCCGGGTTATGCTCGAACTATTCAGCACGTGCGAACCTTCCGCAGTGATCGAGTGAGGCTATTTCTAGATATTACACCCAAGGAATCCCCAGGTCCGGGTAACAAAGCTTCATATACCGCGAGATTATGTGCCAAACAAACTATCACGGAGGGTCCACGGACAGCGCAGATGAGGCATGTGGTGATTAAAGAGCTGAAATGGCGGTTTGAAGAAACGGCCAGGGCCTTATCAAAACCCAGCCATCATGAGACTCAGGATGCAATCTACCACAAGGAGCAATGTGTACGTCAATTATGCCATGGGAGAGTGACAGGTCGGTGGAGCGCAACTGGTGGCCGGCCCAAAACTGAAGCGACAGATGACATGATTCAAATATCCTTTGATGTCAGCATTCCAGCAAGCGCAGATGCTGTGGAGGTCTTAGAGATGTCTGCAATTGACACCAAACAGGCATGTCTCCATCAAGGACCATGCGAGTGCCCTGCTCGCACACATACAGATGACGAAAAAGCTGCCATCATTGCAAGCCACCAATTGAAGCTGGACATCATCGCGGGAGAAGACATTATCGACCAGGAGACCGGGAGGCTTGTGGATCGAAAGCCCTTGTGGAAGTCGTTCGGGGCCTTCTTCCCAATGCCAGTATATGAGTTCATGTCTTCACAGGAAATCCCTAATGCTGTCTTCCCTTCCAACGATACGCTCCCGATGTATGATGTGACATCGAAACCCCCGAGCTATGGTGCTTTGCGATAGATCCCCCATATCAACAAGAATAGATCATTCGTGGCCACTGGATGATACCTTCTGGATAAATTAGTCTGACTTGTCTAAATGTAAATGGGGCAAACCTACATATGGCGCACTCCTACATCTTGTCAACGTCTTCTCTCATCCAATATATAATTCTATGTTTTTAGTATGCACAGAAGGGTCGTCTTCACAATTTTGTGTCCGGGACGTGGTTGGAGAAAGTGGACCTCAAGTGGATTAACAAGTGTAAGACCCCGCTTAGGAAAAAAAAAAAAAAGAAAAGAAAAAAAAAAAAAAAAAGGAAATTTCACAGCCCACCAGAATGTTTATTTAGTGCTCTTGGCTCCCTCCACGAATGTCGCTTATTACTGGTATTATATAACTAACGCTTGTGGATTGGCTAGTTAGTTAGTTAGGAGCCTCGGAACTTTCTTAAGAAGCCCCGCTCGTCCTGCAACGACTAGACTTCATGACCGGGTTTCTTTTCAAGCATTTCTTTCCATCGCGCCTACCTTTATTGTGCCACGGCGATATATGCAGGTCATCAATGAACTGCAGACACTCTCTTGAGTACGCATAAATCCTCCGATTGCGACACAGCATTATTCCATGAGCAGTACAAGTCCTACCGACAGCGAAAATGGCAGAAGATAAAATGGACAACAAGCCTCAAGCAGACTCCAATCTAGAATCCTTAGGATATCGTCCCGAATTGTCACGCAACCGATCAACATGGCAGGTGGTGTTCATGTGTTTCATCCTGGCCTCTGTACCATATGGTCTATCGACGACCATGTCATATCCAATGGCAGGAGGTGGCCCCGCTAACATGTTCTGGGGCTGGGTAATTATATCTTTTATCATACTGTGTGTAGCGGCATCTCTGGCTGAGATTACATCAGTCTATCCCACAGCCGGCGGAGTCTACTATCAGACGTTCGTCCTGTCGCCGTCGTGGTGTAGACGTGTTACAGCCTGGATTTGTGGCTGGTCTTATATTGCTGGAAATATCACAATTACCCTTGCTGTTAACTTTGCAACGGCGCTTTTTCTGATTGAAAGCCTGAATGTATTCCAATCCTCAGGTGTCGGCATCACTGAGAACTTTCAGGCTTATCAGACGTATCTTATTTTTCTCGGAATCACCTTGATATGCCACGCTATTCCTGCATTTGGAAACCGATGGCTGACACACCTAGAGGTATGAAGGAGTTCTTTTTGCTTTGACGTTGTATCGTCATCTTTCTAATATGGCCCCTATATTGTCTAGACAATGGCAATCTTCTGGACTCTGATAGGAGTCACAGCTCTCGTTATCACGGTACTTGTCGTCGCAGCGCATGGCAGACGATCTGCTGAATGGGCCTTCACAGGGTTCGAACCGCAGTCGGGCTGGCCAGATGGCTGGTCTTTCTGTATCGGTTTGCTACAAGCCGCCTATGGCCTCTCGGCCTCTGGCATGGTCACCTCGTGAGTTTCCTTATCCATCGCCCATTCCTTCATCACACCATACAGCCAAATTTCTTAAAACAAAAAAAAAAAAAAAATTAAAAATAAAAAAAATTAAAAAAAAAAAAAAAAAAAAAAAAAAAAAAAATTAAAAGAAAAGAAAAACTAACCCAATAATTGAAACAAACGACAGAATGTGTGAGGAAGTCCACAAGCCAGCAACCCAAGTCCCAAAGGCCCTCGTTGGAGGCGTCATCGTCAACTTTTTCGCAGGACTCTTCCTTCTCATCCCTCTCAACTTCATCCTCCCCGACATCGCCATGCTTGCAAACCTCGCCAGCGGTCAACCAGTTCCCACGATCATCAAGTCCGCCACGGGAAACTCCGCCGGGGCCTTCTGCCTTCTCATCCCCCTCCTCGCCCTCGGTATTATCTGCGGCGTGGGCTGCGTCACCGCCGCATCTCGGTGCACGTGGGCATTTGCTCGTGACGGCGCTATACCCGGTTCAAAATGGTTTAGGCAAGTCAATACGCGACTGGAAGTGCCGCTCAACGCGATGCTACTGGGAATGGTAATTGAGATACTTCTGGGGCTTATATACTTCGGCTCAGCGGCGGCATTTAACGCATTTTCTGGCGTGGGGGTTATATTCCTGACGCTTAGCTACGCGATGCCTGTTGCAGTATCCTTGCTCCTGCGCCGTCGAAAAGACGTTAAAAATGCCACTTTCAATCTTGGGGTGTTGGGTACATTTTGTAACGTGGTCTGCCTTGGTGAGTATCTCCTTTCGCTTATCTGCCATGTATTCAGAGTATCTGATCGAGTCTAATGATGTTTGAAACCTCAGCGTGGACCGCCCTTGCTATTCCACTATTCTGCATGCCGACCTTCAGCGCAGTTACTCTCGAGGATATGAACTATGCGTCAGTTGTCTTTGTTGGGTTTGTGGCTGTTTCGGCCGTTTGGTATTGGATATGGGGCCATAAGAACTACTCAGGACCACCGACAGAAAGGGTTGAGATGGCTGCTGAGTGCCTGGATGACGCAAATGCAATGGACAAGCCCCCGGAATTGCCGTGATACATTTCGTGAAGTGGTTACGCGGGATACAATTGCCGCAGCTTTCAGATCTGCTTAGTGGTCAAAAAGCAGTACTAAAATGCAAAGTGAAATATGACAATGTGTCCCAAAAATCCAGTATGTGGATTATCTAGGGCAACATTACATGATAAACTACCATATACCAACACTTGGCATTGATAGGTATACATCTACCTGAATGACTACCAGCACAATGGTAGATGAGATAGTACATAAATAGATGAATATATAAAGATGTTCATTCATGTACTCAGCTTAGTTCTTTGTGATTTATTTCTAAAGATGGATGTTGGACGTCAGAAGACAACCCTGGTTAAGGATTTGATGATTTCCTCGAATGGTGTGTCGATACTGTGGGCGCAAGCATAGCATCAGATGTGTTGACATCCGTATATGCTAAAGGTCTGATATGTTGGCCGCTCCGATTGACCATAGGGTATGGAGAACAGGGCTTCCCGTCCAGTGTTACATGGAAATCAGAAACATGAAGGCATTGCAGACAACTGGCTGGGTCCTTGGTGTTGAACGATTTTTGGCATGGGTCTTACAGCATGATGATATTCGCGATATCAGTATTATTCCTCGTCTGAAGGGACCTCGTTTCGCGCCTTAGGATCCATAAGGGAAAGAAATATATGTAACTAGGACTAGAAACTTTAGTAAGAACATCTTTTCTACTATCAGCTGCTGTGCAGATGCCTCTCAGTTCTTTTGTAAGAGCGTATTTTTATGTAGCAAGCTGGTGCTACTAGACTTAGTTAATGGACTAAGACGCCGGGAGATCCCAGAAGACCCCCATTTTGACTCATATCAATGTGATGGCACCGAGCGACACCAGTAACAAAATATAGAAGCATTATGGGTGTTATTCTCTCGTCTAAAACAAGCAGCACTTTCCACTGCTTGACGTACTAGTCTAGCCTAGCGGTGAGGTTTCTGAATGATCCTAGAGGCACCGTGATATACCAACTAACAACTTAAATCGACCGTATGTGTTGACGTGGCTTATGAGCAGCGCCCCACCTCTCTGGAATAGGTATGCATTTTGCTGTGCTTATGGGTCGCTGAAAACATGTTTCTTGTCCATTCGTCTAACAATTAGATTCGCTGGAAATGCAAAGTGGGAGGGGTGCTTCTTTGCATATAGAATGTTGTACCTCTTATCACAATTGTCTCGTCACTTGTTATTCTCCAAAAATTGGAATACTGGGACGGCATCCTTTTTCTTGTGATGAACTGGGTTATTCGACAAGGCAATCCTGGAGTTCTTTTTGGTCGAGTGGGGATTCCTAGCTCATTGTAGATGTAGAGACCTGCTTTGTCTATCAAGTTCTCCAGAGGTCCAGCATGTCACGGAACGCGGGCGCTCGCCAGCGGCATGATATTTTTGACTACTTTGGCCTGTTTGGATATAGGGCAGGAACTCCTTCACACACACTAAATAGCTCAGCGCTGGCAGGCCCAGTTTCAGAGCCGTATAGGCGCATATGTACCGGGTTTTCTAGACAGGTTGAAGGCTTTCCCTTTCCGATTTAGTAACGTATTCTGAAAAGATCACCTTCAATCGGGAGAAGTATTATGTTTAATCCATTGCAACAGCCAGCTATTTTTAGAATCATACATGTCTTTGGGTGGTATGTAATATGCCCTTTTTGACGGCAAACTGATCTAACCAAAATGTAGCATTGCCCACAGTTTCTGCAAAGGTAAGATTCAATAGTATTGTAGTGTAAAGTACGAACTTCATGAAGCCTTAAGCCACTTATGCCACGGTCTCAGCTAGTAGATAATAACGAATGATATCCCTATCTAGACTAGGTAGTCCATCAACGAGAATATCGGATCTGGGGAGAAAGAAGAAGAAACCATCAACGCCAGACAAAGGAGACTATCTACTGTTCGTGTGCTTCGCTTGTGGGAGGGCTAGGGCTCTGCCGTTTGTATGGTCGTTTGACATCGTTTGTACCATTGGCGTTGGTGTTGATCGTCACAGCTTGGAAGGAAGATCATAGGATATATGCCGAGAATTGAGTTTTACCACTTTCTCCAAGAGCGTTTGCACAATCTTGTCACCTCCCTTTAATAAAGCAGCTCGCATGGCATTGCCCAAATATCCACACTGAGTGTTGATATCATCTCCCTGCTCCAGCATCTGCACAGTTTTTTCATGTCCTTCTAATGAAGCAATGTGGGGGGGCATTGCCAAAGAACCTACCCTGAGTATTGGCATTAGCTCCTCGTTCTAGCAGCATCTGCACAATCTTGTCGTGTCCTTTCAACAAAGCACACACCCTGAGCATTGGCATCGGCTCCCTGCTCCAACAACATCTGCGCAATCCTGTCATGTCCTCTTAAAGCAGCAGCATGGAGGGCAGTATCATTATTTTTACCCTGAGCATTGAAATTGGCTCCCTGCTCCAGCAGCATCTGCACAATCTTGTCATATCCCACAGATGAAGCAGCGTGGAGGGCAGTATCATAATCTCTACCCTGAGCATTAACATTGGCTCCCTGCTCCAAAAGCAGTTTCATAGCCTCATAGTGTCCATTTAGTGAGGCCCACATTAATGCAGTTGATCCACCACTGTCTCTCTTGTGTACATTGTCTCTATTCTCGTGGATCAATCTCATAATATGCGTATGTCCGTTGAATGCTGCTAGGTGGATTGCATCCATTTTGGGTATGACTTCGAACGGCATTAAAGCCTTCCAAAATATAGGATACCAAAATGCAAATCGTAATGTAGCTGTCATATAGCCGGTGTAATAGATTGGCCATTTCTTCCTGTGATTGCAAAGACATTTTCCGTACATGGTCGGGCCAGTGTTCTGCCGAGTACTTGAGAAAACTGAGGCAGTTCCTCTCTGTTTGTACTTTATTGTTTTCCAGATCATCTATCAGCAGATATCAAACACAGATCTGAGACAATTGGTCTTCGGCCTCCTTCTGGTCAAAGGAGTATACAGAACATAAATTACCAGCAATCTCCTTTCTGACAAGAAACTCCCTGACTGTCTGGTGGCTAAGGTATATCCTTGAATCATTGATGAAAACAAAGAGCCCGCACAATCGGCGTATCTTATTTTCAAGGCCCATTGAGTCTAGCCCAGCCTCTGCTATATTTCTTGATATAGGTCTAGTAGCCAACCCTAAGGCCATGGCCATTTCCTCTATTGTCAAGGGACGTCGCGCACCAACAATGATCTGAAGAATCTTCTTAACGGTATTGACTTGATTGGACGGAACACGGTCGAGGATTCTTGCATAAGCAGCATTCACAGATGAAGGTATGGGTTGAATTGGCTCATCAGCTGGTCGAAGGCTATCTTGAAGTGTAGTGCGGATGTCATTGATAGCTAGATGTAACCAGAGATATGTGCGATGTTCCATTTGAAGAATCTGTTGCTCCAGTTTCTGTGAATCTGTGATCTCTTGGAAATTGGTTTTAATCTCATCATAGTTTAACCAAATTTTCTGGTTTTGTACATCACTATGATTATAGAAGTCATTGAGTTTCTGAATTAGTTGTTTTTGATCGTCCATACGACATTCGTCAAGCGCGTCGAGAACACAAATGGTTTTGTGTGATGTAGGATCTGCTGATGCTGCAGACAGAAAGATCCGCCAGAGCTCGCTAACCTCATGTTGAAGTTTGTCCCCGTTCTGCTCCCATGATGGTATTGCATGTTGTAAGAGGTTTGGCTGTTGGCTAAAGAGCTGATGAAGTATTGCACACAGTGCTATAGCAAGGTTGTCCTGCTCTTCATTGTCCTTGAGAAAAAAAGTAACAAACTGATGCTGTTGAAGTTGATACTCTAAAGTCTTCATCAATAAGTGATCTGGCTAGGACAGACTTCCCACAACCAGGGTCAGCTGATACCCAGAGAAGGTCATTGCTGCAGCTATCCCACCAACGAATATATTGTGGATTCTGTGAGACCCACTGGCATGTTCCTGGTACTCGTTTGGGGTTGATGTCCTTTTGTCCCTCATAACTTGATATCTTGAAAACTTGATGACATCGCCGCTGCTGATCGGTCAAGGCTGTAGCTGTTTGTTCAAGATATTGATGTTCTTGTTGATTGTATGCTCTGTCTAATCTTTGATTGGTGTCTTTTACCTCCTCATCCAAATATTCTATAGAGCCTATAGAGTGACATAGTAAGCAAGCCATGCCCTTGTTCAATACTAGGCTAATCTGGACACCACTTACGACATACGTCTGTTGCCAAGTTCCCTAGTAGCTCTTTAGCATATGATGCTGCTGCCAAGGCAGCGTAGCCTTGCCACTGCTTGTTCTTGTGGGAATCTGAATAGTCACAGATGCCACGGATCACAATGCATGGAAAGTCCATCATCAAGCCTGCTGCCTCCATTTCAAAGCACAATGGCTCAGTTTTCAGGCGGAGTTGCTCTCTTTTTCTTCCATGTTTTATAACAGAATTGCCAGAAGCAATAATACCATAATGTGGCCGTGGGTCATTATCTTCTCGTTCACTTCTAACTTCCTCCCAGTCTGTCGGGCATATATCACAGCTATTCACACTATCAGGATGGTCATGCTCAGGTTTGAACAATCGATCGCATTGTGAATTAGGCCGGCCGAAGCTTTTTTGGGTCCGCGTAGTCCTTCCAATCGCATTTCAGAGATATTGCGGGTAGCGGGGACCATCAGTTAGCTCAGCTGCCCTCATGCTGTTGACCGCTGTCAGTAAAGATCTTGAAGGACTGTTCAGAGAGCCCGTGCGACAAAATTCGTTCCCAACCTTCCCCATATCATATTGAACTACGCCTCCACAAGTACCCGTTGGGTAGCTGATCACAATATCGCCAAGCCGTATATCGTGGTCGGCAGATGGAATGCCTCCTCCAACACCGACCATCAACCCGATCCGTAGCGATTTTGAAAATGACCGGATCATATTGTTTGCGACTGTTGTAACCGCACAGGCTCCGTACTGTCCTCCAGGCAGGCAGGCGATCACGACGTGGTGTTTACCGATTCGGCCCAAGGTGTAGGTGTTTGGATCGATTGCGTCTTGCTCATCAAGCAATCCAAAATTCTCGTCAAGCATCTCTACAGCGGCAGCGACCTCGATAGGTAGAGAACAAATCCAACCGATCTGAAATTCCTCTCGTGGTGAACAAGACATGTTTGTCTCGCGCTATTATCAAAACTCCGCTGTCGGCGATAATGATGGAAGTTAGAAAGAAATGATCTTTTGACACTGTAGATTCAAAGTATACCGGAAGGATTAGGGGTAAACCAGAGTCTATTATCAATCCTCAGCTCAGCCTTGCATACATGAGTACGGCAGACTATTGTAACACAATTGCAAAAACCCGGATTGTTTGTTTTTCTGCCGGCAAAATGAATTCTATACTAAGTACTAATTATGGCTTGCTTGGCTTCGCCTTTTGGCTACTAATCCTAAGCACCACGTAGAAGTGCAAGTCTTGCTTAGGTGCCGTACAAAGGGCCCGTACGACTGGGCAAAAAAAAAGCCAAACGCCAACTATTTACAGGACAATAGGGTTGCCAGTAGATGAGAAAGGGGTATACATACATGGTGGTGGTAGATGGCAAAGAGACGGTCACTAGGAAAAGATGAGAAATGTTAGTAAATCTGTCCACTTTAGAGGTTGTACAAACAAACCGAGGAATATTATATCCACATCCACGTATGTGAGAATAAAGCAATTCCCTCCCATATCCTTTTATAGTGCCTTTCCCTATCCCTTCAAGAAGACCTTTAGCAGCCTCCTCTTCCTGTAGCTGTCTGTTGACCGGATCATATATACGGCGTGTCAATCCAAGTCTTGTACAAAGTAGATGGAGTGCTCGGAGAGTAATCTTATAGCCTTCAGCTTCAAGAATCTTAAGATCATTACCTTCCAGGTCATTTTGAAAAAAAAAAAAAAGAATTAAAAAAAAAAAAAAAAAAAAAAAAAAAAAAAAAGGGTCCTGACACGCTGATGAAGGGCTGTGTCTGTTGTCATACGAGGAAATGTACTTGCGAATACCCCATGATTGGAGTCGTGAATTAATTGTACGCTCTCTGGCTCGGTCTCTCGGTCTCTTGGACCTGATGTCTTTGTTGAAGATGCTGGCATATTCTGGAGGCGGAGGTATCATTTTGATAAAGAGAAATAATCTTAGACTTATATGGCTCTAAGTCAAGCTGTGGACGTACCATCTTTGGGCTATAGGTATAGAGAAAGGAATGAAGAGTGACTACTACTAAGTAGGCATTAAGGGTTTATATACAGGCGGAAATAAAAAGCGGTAAACATTTGTTGCTAAATCTGGGTTTTGTAATTGTGTTACAACAGTCTGCCGTACGCGCCGCTGCGGATTCTCATCGGCCAGGCATCAAGAAACTAGTTACCCTTTGCATCTCGAGGCATTCTAGAAATTCAAAGTGTATTATTTAGTATAATTGATGCAATATCATTAATCATATAACTCCATGAATATACAAATGCCTGCACCCGACCTATATCCAATAATCTACCAGGTATTTCCAGCACCGTCCAGGAATGCCAATGCCCGATATAGTCCACCAGTGTATAAACTCCGCATCACCAATCCATCCGTAGTAACGATAATAGTATATATGTAGTTAATGTAACAAGTAATAAGTATAATAGGCCAAGAAGGAAAATTTTGGGGGGGTGAAGGAAACAGATGTGCAAAGGGTAGGTTACAAATATAGACATCAATAGATCGTCAAGTGCCATGAATCACTACTTCATTGCGCATTGATCATGGCAGGTTGGCATTGGTGTCAAGGCGTAGTCATCATTCTTAGTAGCTTTATTGAGCACTCGGTTCAACTCTTGGTACAGTTTCTTTGATTCGATTCGGGCGCTCGGTTCAACCACAATCAGATGCTCTGTGATAAGATTAAGAAGATCATGCATGAGTCGTGAAGAGCGTTTGTGGCGATGCAGCTGATTCACCCAGTCGAGAACCTTTGTTCGGACCATTGCTGTCGTGTCCGAGGTAATGGTGTAGAAGTTGTCGTCGTTGATCCCGGTGCGAGGGGAGAGTTCACCACGATAGTCGGCGAAGTTGTAAACCTCCTCCGCACCGAGAACGAGCCATGTCACGAATTCCAACAGGACGCAGCCGAAGCTCCACATGTCATAGGCCTGGGAGACATATTTCCCAATCCTATATTCGGGGGGCTCGTAGGTCGGCGAGCAAGGCACGTCGTTGGTGGGTGTTTGCCCTCGAGAGTTGTGTTGGCCATGTAGTCGTCCCAGGCCAAAGTCGGCCAGTTGGAGAACTCCTCTTGGGTCGGTGACGCCGATAGCATGCTGGAACCAGAGGAAGTTTTCCGGTTTGATGTCTCCATGCCGACCGTAGAGTGTTTCATACCGTTTCTTGTTGTTGCGGGTGGTGGTGCCGTTGGGTGAATCCACTTGATCATGATCGGTGACGTTGATCGTGATGGTGAGTTTGTGTATCCTCGCGAGAGCACCTGCGATGCCAGTCATCTGCGTGAGGGACCAAAGGACGGTATCTCGGTCGAAATCAGGAATAGGACGGCAATCCCAGTATGCACGCAGGTTGGAGTCGGCAAAGGGGAAGATCAGGTGCCATTTCCCGTCTTTTCGGAAGGTGGACAGCAGCTTGATGAGATGGCGGTCTTTCTTGGGGGTCAGCCGGAAGAGGATTTGTTGTTCTCGTTCGAATTCGTCTTGGTCGGACTGGTGGAGGCGTTTCACTGCACACAGTGGTCCTTTGGACTGGCGGGATACATCAGATGGAATCAAGATGACATATTAGAAGGATGGATACTCACGTCCAGATCGACGACTTCGCTCCATTCCATCTGCGCGGGATGAAAACGGACAAAAAATACATCGCTGAATCCGCCACTCAGCGGGACTAGATGGCTCTCTTCTGGTAGCAACGGCACGGTGGGTAAACTGGCATTATTGGAAAGCTCGTAATGCCTGAGATCCTCAAAGACGGTCGCCAGGAACCACCATTGGAACGAGTAGAGCTTCTCTCGATGTTTGCTCTTCCAATGTCCAGTGGCCGTCACCGGTTTCCCGTCCTCCGTCCAGAGGTTGAATTCGTTATCTTGATCACGTCGTCGAAGGGGAAGCTGGTCATCGAGGATGTTTTCCTTGAAGAACAGCTCTATCTCAGCTTCCTTCCCAACCAGCACGAGAATGGCAAATAGGGCTTTCCCGCGTCTGCAAGTTTTCCTGGCGGTTCGCTGTAGAACCTTTTGATCTTTGATATGCTGGGCAAGAATGTCTGTGACGGTACTTTTGTTGATGAGTTCGTGCGTCGTTTGTCGTGAGATATAGAAATGGAAATTGCCTCCAATGTCTTCGATTCGAGCATTTCTAAGCTGTTCGGCGAGGTCTTTTGCTGGGCCGTTGGTGTCGGAGACTCCTGGGGATCGAGGAGGGGACAACGAGGCCCCATCCATCAATCTCGTCGAGGGGAAACCATCAATCTGTGAAGCTTCGCTGATCGGATGTACGAGGGCAGTAGAAAATGGTTGATCGGTGACGACTGTGGTATCATCACTGGAGGGCGACCCGCTCCGAGGACGATTGGGACCATGTTGCCGCGGTGGAAGGGGAAAATGATTCAATATAGCCACGAGACGCCAAAGCGGGTATATAAGACAATCGACAAGATTCATGGTCAAAGCATCGAGGGCTGAACGAGTAAGGCAAGAAATGTGGTGGGAGCTGCGGGGATGCAACGGACTGGTTTAGAAGCTACCCCGGTGAGCTGCCATATGTTCCTGTAGAAGGAGACTGTGTGAAAGGGAGTAAATCTCCTTAGTCAGTCTAGGCATCCATGACAACTGTTTGGGGCGAATGCCACCGTTTCGCGGACGGGGCGTGGGATGGAAAAGAAGAAAAACAAAAGCATGGCCTGCATTACCGTATCCCGGATTGCCGTAGTGCAGGCCGTCGCAGAGAAGAAATAAAGAACTCTCGATGAATAGAACTGTCCGCATTATTACTCTGATCCATCTACTGAATCTTTCGGATCTTATCTCGCTGCAAGTCACAATGTCAACTCGTGCATCAATGCGTACATATGCTAACTACAGCTAGTCCATCTTAGCCTGCCGTTTGGACCCAACCCCTCCTACCTCCATCATCTGTCGCCGCGGAGGGATTTTGTATTCCCTTTCCTTTTGCCGCAGTCCCTCTTCTAGATCAGAAGAGTCTTTTCCTGCGATGATATCCCACACTCTCCTGTGTAGACTGCGTGACCCCTTATCGCCAGGGTGAACTGGCGGTGAGAATCGCACACACAACCACCACAGGCCAAGAGTGAGGCTGGTAAGGGGCAGTGCGACTGCGGCGAGAACCCATGATTGAGGGGAAATTTCCATTTTTCCATTGTTGGCCTTGACAAATTCTGTTGAGAAGAAATTCTGTGGCGGTTAGCGCTGCCAGGGTGGAGGTCAGATGATGCCTTACAGCCACTATCGTGGTGGGGAGGTAGATCAGGCTGATGATAGTCAACACTTTGACCGCGGCCGCATCCTTGGTGCTTTGAAACTGTTGCTGTTAGATCAGTTAAGCAGTAAAGAGTTCTCACATACTGCCAGTTGAGATGTCACTTTCCCTTCCTTTTGGGACTCCAACGCCAAACCCTTCAACATGCATGCTTCTTCGTAGGATAGTAGATCGGTTAACTGGCAGTGTTAGGTCTGTTGGACATGTTTAATACACAGAACATACCAGCCGAATAGTAGACTGCAGTCTCTCTTTCAACACTTCAACCCGCTGAATATCCCTCTTGACATCAGAGATATGCTCATCAAACTCCACCAGTAAACCAAGATGATCCCAAAATGGACTGTGTTCAAAGCACCATTTCTGATAGACATCACGGACACGAATGATATTCTCCAGCATCGTAGGAAGAATAATCTGCAGAGTAGATATATACTCTTCAAATCGATACAGGTCCTGTCGATCCTGAAGGCTGAACTTGTAATTAGTGAGGCTTTTCGCATCGTGTTCATCGCCAACAGTGGCCACGTAGATCGGTCGAGACTGTTTCATTAGCGATGATTTCTATAATGAGGCAGGAACATACTCTTTCCTGAAGCTGACCTTCTATCCAGGATATGTATTCAGGCCAGCCTCTTGTGCTGTCGGCAACGAGCAGCCAATGGATTACCCATGGATTCACCTCCTCCGTGGAGTCTTGGATGACTTGGGATAATTCATCTTCAAACACTGTTGAAGGGAGGGAAACCAGTAGGAAGATCGACTTGGATTTTTGAATATCCTTCTTTCCATTTAGTTGATGATAGACGACTGTGTGTCGAATCGACCACGGTGAATCGACTGGTCCACATTCTCTGTCATGCTCTTCCACACGACGGAGTATGTATGATATCTCTGCTGATATCAGTATTCTTCAAGCGAGAAATGTTTCAGAATGAAAAAACCGACCGCACGTATCCTGTCCTTTGCTGGTGGCATACCGAGAGGAAGGACCGGGAAATGCAAACTCATTCTCGCTCAGTTTGAACCCAAGAGGAAAAACAGACTTCCAGATATTTGGGAAGACGTGGTAAGCACCCAGGAACTGTTCAAAGAGTTCTTTCGAGATGTTTATTCTCGACCAGGTGTCCTCTTGTCGGACGATAAACAGCTTCGATGTAGTCTATAAAGTCAGTACCCAAACACACAATATAGATGGCTTCATACCGTATCCAGTAATTCCAGCTGTGATGCATTCTCGACCAATTGAATCATATCAGCATCAGAATTCGATTTGAACGGTTGAATAACCTCGAGTCTGCACTTTGTCGGCCATGCTTGGAATAAACGCGACCGTTGATCAATCCTTCCCTTCATCAAGTTAATCTTGGCTTGTTTGATACCTATCATTGTAGTTATTGCGTTATTGAATATCTCAAATATAGGATGGAATGTACTCCATATATCTACTCCGTCGTTGAAGCCATCTATTTAAAACATGTTGCCAGCCAGGCAGATGTGCAGCAACTTTCCACCAATCCAGCCAACATATCACAGTGCCAAACATCATATTATGTATGATTCATTATTAAATATCTGCCTGTGCTTGCTTTATCTGTGTGCCTACGAATTCGCCCCTTACAGCCACACAAAAAGATAAGTGTTTTGCCATCCAAATCATCAACATCATCAAAATCATGATTCGTAACCCAGCCTACTATTTTTATATCCAGCCAGCTGAACATTGCTAAAAAACGTACATACAGAAATATATATCTCCTCATTATATCGTTATAGCAACCGGCGATACGTTCGACAATCTCGGATTTCCGCCTGGACGTTTAGTGTGTGGTTCTCGATATTTAAGGGATATATATCCATTGATCGCTCACCTCGGTGAGAGCAGGGCTGTCGGTCGCTCGGTAGATTTTATATTTATTCAGTCGCAACTATTCAAGAACTGCATTAGTACACGAATAGTCAGAGTGGAAGGCTTCTTACCTCGACGTAGAAATTATTCCTGCCCTCGTTGGAAATGCCATAGATGGTTCGGAGTAGGGACATGAGTTTTCGTTGATCAACGCATTTTCCGTCAATCTGCTGCATAGGTAGAGACACCATGGCTGGGTTTATATGTCATGAAAAATATCAGACTTGATATATCGAGTGTCGTAGGTTTGATATCCACATCCGAGTCTGACCGGGCACAACGGCGTTCATTTATACCCTGCGAGGGCCCATTCCTGTAGGTGGCATTATTAGGTTACGAACACGCCCAGCCGAGGGGTGGCTGTTCCCCCCACTCATTCCATTGCTCTACACGAGGCACACCCTGCCTATACATGACTATCGCTGCCTGTGATACCTCAGTGCTAGGCTTACACAGTACTGATTTAACAGGTAGCTTATTCCACACCGAAGAGATACATTGCCACTGTAGCCCACCCGATCATCTCCGGATACAGAGTGCTCCAAACTTCCCCCCCCCCCCCACAGCTCACTATATAATCAGCCGACCAGCACCCTAGCATCAACGCATTCGCACCTGAATATGTGTGGATTTAGCAGGAATGGCGTGGAAACAAAAAACAACAATGAACTAATTGGCCGCAGCAACAGATGGGCGCTGGGTGCAACTCTCTATCTCCTCCTGATCCAGTCAGATTCAACAGACAAAAGCAAGGTAAACATTTTCTTGTTTCCTTCGTGGGTGAAAAGGCGGGTTTCGCGGCTTCACTCACAATTGTAAGCAGCCGTGGCGCTTCAATGATATACTGTCCATTCCTTGTCTATAAAATCGCCATCTAGTCAGCCACGCTTTATCTTCAACTATACTCGGCTTTCTCGATAATTTCATTCGTACTTGGGTGTTGAATTGTCCGACTCCAAAGAGGTCTTCCAATAAATCCATCAACCGTGTTTGGCTGAGGTAGCGGTTGATCATGATGCTTTGAGTCATTTTGACATGTGATTGCGATCGATAGGCTGAATCAGTGTGGCAGTTTCTGACTGAAGGCCTTGCTGATTTGCTTTATTATTTTCGAGGCCTTGTCTGACCTCCATGGGGAAATATATCGTCTTTCCATGCCGACTATAATGAGGCTCTACAAAGGATATCGAACCAACGCATGAATGCCCAGTTGTCAATCTATCCAAACCCCATTTCTCAAGGCTAGATGGTTAAGCCCAATCTACGCACACCACATACACCTACATTGATGCAGTGGTATCATCTCAAGGTATGTACCGATTGGATCGAGTATCGCGAAACTGTTTGCTATGATGCAGATAACCAGTTGTCGGATTTCACGGGTCGAGCCATCCCGCGTCTCATTGCTTAAAACACTCGATCATATGCAATTATCCTCACCGATGAGGGGGTGATAGAATGCCTCATGATGCGGAGAATTGCGATCTGCGGGTGCTGGGGCCATCTTATCCCTGATGGTTGCTTTTTGCTCGTAATTGACAGCCTCGCAAACGGCTGTTTGGCGGAATAAGAAATTCCCATGCTCTGGTTATATCCGAGGCTGTCGGTTTTATGGAAGTGAAATTATTGGTTATTCTGCAGTAATGCAGGTGATATTGTCATACAGCCATGGTCAGCAGAATACCAGGTATGGATTTCATTATACATTATTCACTACAAACCAAAAAACGACAAAGTAGAACTTGTCCTCGACTTTCTCGTCTCCTTGTCCAACCCCATCAGGTTATACACAGCCATCTGCGCTCCTCTCACGGTATAATCCATCGTAACAGTTTCATCCGGAATATTCACAAACTGACCGATAAGCGCCAGATTAGAATACCTGCACATGCTCGGGTTGGTTTGGGAAGAGTGGTTGATGGGGGATACTCAGGCTGAAGAGCCAGTTGCTGTCTTTTAACGTCACTAATGCGCCAGTATAGGGTTCGTCGTCTGTGAGGTCGATGAAGCGGTTGAAGAATGTGGGATTGCGGAGAGTGACAGTGAAAGACTCCAATCTGGATTCTGACATGCGCATGCAAAAGTTGTACGCATTTCCGAATTCCGAATTTGGCATCTTTTGTCGCCAGTTCCAGCCATAATAGCCAGTTCTCGTCGAGGTCGTTTTCTGCGCCCATTGATTCCAACGACGCAGGATCCTTGTTGAGCCGGACATGACAGAGCCAAGAGAGACGATGACAATATCATTCTGCCCGACTTCGATTATCTTTTCTGGGCCGTTTTCGATATATCTGATTGTTGATACATGTCGATGGTCGTAGGTTGGATCGGTGACGATATCTGTTACCTTCGTGTGGAAGCGAAAGCCAACGCCTTCATGTTGGAGAACGTGAGTAATCGGGACGACTATCGATTCGTGATGGTTGAATCGTGTTCTGTCTAGAATGCTGCAATGCTTCAGTTCGTCAAAATCATTATAGAAACGATGCAGACATCGTCGGAATTCGGCGACGCTGTGGCATGGTTGGAAGCCGAATCTATATCTGTAAGTATCTTGACAATATAGGTATTATGGATGCATACGTCGTCGACCAGACAATCCAAAACGTCGTCTTGAAGAACCCCTCCCCAAAGAACTCCTTACAAAGACTTCACCTGTAGTTAACTAGTTATCATATTTCATTCTCTGCATTCCATTCTCAATAGAACTTGATAAAAATGGTAATAATCATATTCTAGATTTCTTAAAAAAAAGGACGTCTCCTCGTCGGAACCCACGTTGCCCGAAGGCTTTGAATTCCCGCCCCCTCCCCCAAAATCGCCGTATGTTTCCTCTCTCTGTAGAGCATACATATCCTCTTGCTAACACCCACTCAATTAGATGAACTCCGTGAGCGCTATGGAGATAAATTATTATTCAGAATGTCCGGCTTCCACTCCGAGAGTCGTCGCCGGCTCAATACCATGTTTGACAATTTTTACACTCATTCTGAGCCAACCAAACGCAAGCATTGATGCTATGCAATGATGGTTCTCTGTGATGCTGACAACATATTATTAGGTTGGTCAAAATTCAACCTTGCCAACTTCATTCAGAGCACTTTTCCTGCAGAGTTGACCCCAATTCTCCTGAATGCAATCCCAGTTCTGCACCAATTCCGTCTGCGGCTTGGCTCATTTCCATGCCAGAATGATCCCGACAAGCATCTCACACTGGATGTTCTGAAAATGGCAATTACTCTCCTCTTGGAACATGACTCCAAACAATGGATGCTTCATGGGGAAGACCAGGCCAGTTTCAAGGTAGTCACCTTTCAGAGCATGGCGGGAACCGACAATGGGCTGAGAGCAGCAACCGGGGCCCATGGCCCCTGGGACAACACCTAGCTCGACAATTAGCCAATATCCTACCAGTAGCCAGTTCCCGGGCCGAATAGAAGTGCTACCAGTTCCAGAGGCCATGGCAGCCGCGCAAGCTCTTTCTCCTGGACAGGCAATCTGGTCAAATGGATCAAGACTAGAGAACGGCAGATATGGGGAAGGATTCGCATGGCAAGAACCAGGAGGAGCCTGGAAGACCCAGGGGTTTCCATTGGGCAAAGGATATGAGATGTTTGATGCAGAGCTTTTCGGAGTCGTTCAAGCACTCCAGGTAGCATGGAAGACGGGAGATCAGAGGCCAATCACTATCCTGCTGGACTCCCAAGCCGCCATTGCAAGGCTACGACATACCCACCCAGGGCCAGGTCAAGTACTGGTAATCCAAGCACATGTTATAGCCAAGAGACTACACACCCAAGGTCACCAACCCATCATCCAGTGGGTTCCGGGACACGCAGGGGTAGAAGGAAATGAGAGAGCTGACCAGGCAGCAAAGCAGCAGTTGGTAAGCCTCCAGGAAGGGGTCCAAAAGAGATCTCTCTGGCCTTTGCTGGTAGAGCTCGAACAGAAGCTGTTACAACACAGAAGCAGAGATGGCTCACTGAGGAGCTCAGCCAGTGATCCCAACAAGGTCAATGAATATACAGGCCGCAGAAAAACTAGCAGCTTGACCCTACAGCTGCAGTAGCTCCCAAGCACCTGGCAAGCCACTATTTTCAACTGAGGTCAGGACATGCAGCCATTGAAACACACCTACATCGGATCCAGGCTCAAGAAGATGCAACCTGTAAAAGCTGTGGCTCATCTAGGGAGACAATACACCATCTTCTCTTTGAATGCCGGCAATGGTGACACCAATGAAATAAGCTCTATAAGGACCTGGAGATGGATGGGGTTGTGAGACCCACTGCTGCAGAGGAGCACCCGCAAGGACGACTTTTAGGAGAGCCCAAAACTACCAGAGCGCTGCTACAATTCCTGGCCAGCACCAGTGTAGCTCTACCCCAGGCGCACCTACAGCGGATGGCGGAAATGGCCCAGAGAGATGAGGAACGGGGACTGGAAGCATTGGAAGAAGCAAGTCAAACAGGAGAAGGATAGCAGGGAGGGTAGCCTAAGTTGAGAGTCAGACTAGGTCACACTCACCCTGCTCTGAGAATACAAGGAGAGCACTCTGCTCAAAAGCCCTGCGCATACAGGCGGTTTGGGGCGAGGAAAAGGATTAGAAAGATCACAGAAGGGGATGCTACCTCGGGAACTCATAGGGACAAGAGGCCGGAGGCTAGCTACCAGCCTTGAGTTCATAGAATACAGTCTGTCATAGCTTTAGGGCTCGATATGGACAATAAGCTTGATTAAATAAATAAATTTCAGAGCATGGCCAGCTGGGACCCTTCAGCAATGAAGCCAGAAGAACAGCGACAGCAGGACAAAGAGAATGATGCTCATCTTGAACAGGTACTGGACTCAATCCAGCTCTCCAATATCTGGAGTGATCCAGAATACCCCATGTTTGTCATTAAGGGTCCTCAACTCCCGCCCTCATATTATCCCTCATCCTGGTCAAGAGACCTACATCAATTGATTCCAGTCAATGAGTTCAGACCACTGCTTCAGTTGGTGCTCATGGGCACAAATGCTTCTCTCAAAAGGGCCTGTGTCACTGGTACAGAGTCTGAAGGAGAAAGGTTATCCAAAGATTTTTGTTGAGTACATTGGTCCGAGAAGTCGAGCTCATCCAGTTAGGAAATGTGGCTATTACATTATCATTAGCCTGTGCTTATTGAGGTGTAAGAATGAATCCATACCATTGACCTTTCCACTATTTGATTAAATATCTCCCAAGAGATGGCAGTTGCATTGTTGCTTTTCTCCTTGAATGCTGCAAGCATGCAGTCTATCATGTTTTCCAACTGTGGTAGACACGTTGCAAATGGTTGCACATCAATGCCATGCTGATAAAGTCTAGTCATATTCCAGCAAAAGGCTTCTGTCCCCAGTGTAATCTTGGGCCTTCCAACCTGGAGCCAGCTCACCATCCTGATGCCATTTAATCCCCAGATCAAAACCACATCGTTGTGTTGGCCCGCTGCCAGCAAACAGCAGTTAAGCTTATACGATTTCTACCAAGCTGCTTCGACAACCCAAACCCAACACTACATCATTCTCATCTCTGGCAACAACGATTCCAACGAAGGCGACTTCTCTATGTAGTGACCGTAGTGTCTTGGTTTACATTAATCGAAACCGTTCTCGCTCTCTTTGCTTTGCTCACAATGCTTGATCCAAAGGCTAATGTTGTTAATGAACCTGCGTGCGATGCCAATTTCACACCCTGTTTGACGAAGAAGTTTGGGTTTTTGCGACAGATTTGTTTAAGGTCAAGACAGTTGTTCAACGCTACATTACGCGCTTTCTTGATGTTTTCCTTAAAGCTCTCGGTGCCCACCCGTGATAGATTCCAATTGGTATATTCTTCCACCGCGACCTCGATTAGCCCGGAAATATCAATGGAATCAGCCGGGATAGTTCCTGTAGTTGCGTCAGAGCTCCAGGACGAAGATATCAAAGGTTGAGATGACTGTGTCGGAAGAACATGGATATTTATCTGTGGAAGCATTGATTCAGTTGTGACGTTATTGGGGGATTTACTTTGTTTTGAAATTTGCTGACACTCTTTCGCATACAGCTGTTCGCGCACGTTGTTGGAAATATCATTATGGGTGTATATGATGCCGCCTTGCTCCGCATATTTGACAAGGGCTTTCAAATGATGTGTTCGGAGTCTATAATGCCTTTTCCCTACCGGATCCTGCCAGCAATGTTGACCCTCATGCTGGCAGGGTGGTCCAGGTCACCGCATTTTCCGATACAAACCTCACCAGACCAAAGGTTGTCCTCTGGAGACCTCGGCGTCAACTTGATCATCCTGCTCAAGGAGCATTCTGTTGGTTATAGAGGAATTTTCTCTTTCATCAGTTCTCCTTTCTGGAGGGCTGGTGTCCTCCATGTAGTTAATAGAAATAGAAATCCTCGGCTTTTTGTTGCACTTGCGAAGCAGATTTTGCCACATTTGGAGCTGTTTATTTATAGTTGTCCAGTCAATATCTGTCTTCTCAAAGCGCTTTGTAAGATCGCGTTGTGACCGATCATTTACAGAAACCACAATCGCAGTATTATCAGGCCTCACACGCCGGTTAAAAGCTACTTTCTGAGACAGGACACGTTCAGCCTTCTGCTTAATCTGCTGCGAATATGAACAGAGTGTTGAAACTAGGTCTTGTTCTGTGTCCTTTGACAGGACCCGGTTGTTAAGAGTCATTCTCCACTCAATAACATACGGAATACAAGACGGATGTTCGTCATATGTTGCTCCATTATCCGATTCGACATCATCAAGGAAGTGTGGTCGACCAGATTGGGATGGAGATAGCAGACAGATTAGCCAGGGAAGCAGCCATGCCAGGCAAGACACACATATTCTGTCCCCTTTTCTCGAGGGAGCAAGCGTTTATTCGAGACCAAATCCGCGCGCAGTGGGAATAAGAATGGAAAACATCCAACAAAGGCGGTCACCTTCGCAGAATTGATACCACATTGCCTTCCACCTACGCGAGATCATATGGCTCGCTGCCAAGGAACCGAGCCTATCTGCTAACACAACTGCGGACGGGCCATTCTTGGTTATCAACATATGCCAGGGCTCACCGCTCCCAAGAAGACTATGAGTGCGTGTGTGGCGCACACGAAACTGTGGTTTGTGTTCTGGTGAACTGCCCGCGATTGCAAGAACTACAATGGGAGTTACAGAGAAAGACTGGCGACACGTTCAACAGCGTATCAAGTCTACTAGGGGGATACAGAGAAGGTAAGATAGGTAAGTGTGATAATACCTCGCGAGCCAGTACGGTCGAAGCGGTGCTGGACTTTGCGGAGGCATCACAACGGTTTCGAAGTCGCGCGCCATGAGGGAAACTTGATGACAAGAATGGCAATTAGGCCACGACAGGCTCTGACGAGGCTCTAAGTTTGTTTTCAGGAAGTGGTACGCTCCACATGTACAAACACGGATATATATAGTTGTGGTAGCCTGCATATCGCTTTGTTGCGAGGGGTCAGGGTAAATAAAATCATCCATCCATCCATCCTGTGTATATGTATTATGGAGGAGTCTTGTCCGGTTTCAGGTACACATCATCCAGTCGGTTGCGTTGGTTGTTGGTTGGGTCACGATATTTGTTAGTTTGACTTTGCTTTTGGATCCTTTCCAACAACTAGCGGATAAATCATGTACATCTAATTGGGACTTACATAGGCCAATGCCTTGCGTTAAATTAGCATAGTGCATTTTATTGATGCTGCCTCAGGCTGCTCACCCATCGGCTCACCCTCTGCTCAGGCTGCTCAGGGCGTGCCCAGACCTGCTCAGTGAGCCAAAGCAGCGAGGGCTGAGCACTAACACGGAAAGAGGAAAGCGGCCAGAACCTGAGAAAATCAATTTCATATGGTATGCCTCGAAACATCGTCATGTGTTCACGCACATAACCATGGATGATTGGCTGAAACGGCGCGTAAATTTTCTAGCGTTGCAGTCTTTAGTGCTTGTCAGGAATAGTAATGGTATTATTGTTCTCTTCTTCTTCTTCTTTTTTTTTTTTTTTTTTTGTTCTACTCTAAATTTATAACGTATCAGGCTGTTTTCCTGCCAGTTTTTGCCTAGGTGACACTCCAGTCCCAAAAGAATATTTTGTGATCAATACCACTGGAATATTATTACAATGTATGCGATAGACCTTACGCAAGAGAAGATGAATCAATTGGTAAACGACCAACTAGAATAGCGGAATTGGGAAAGGATGGAAGAAAGGAAATGAAAACGGAAATCAGAGGCTTCCTATTTGCTCCCTAAGTGTCCTAGCCCTAAACCATCACAGTGACAGTGATGGAAGCTCCGTAAAATAATCCGCCAGTGTATTTGATTATGCATTCTTCCAAGGTATAGTTGAATTTGTTTACACTATTTGCTATAACTTCTGTTGATATTGTTGATACTGTACTTCAGATCATGTGTCTAGTAGAACTCGTCGCTCATGGCATGTTGCCCTGTTTGTCTACCAGCACAGGTATCCTGCTAACTACCATGCACAGTGGCAATGGCGAAGTACATGCGCCAACACGCCAGGCTGTTTCATGAGGAGGGGCAAGCCGCCAATGACATGGCCCCTCCCTTTGGTCAAGTGGGTTGATCAACACCCCTCGAAGGAGTTTCGCACCGGGTGTGAGTGGCCTAGAATATCGCACCCCTCTATAGAGCACCCACGCTAGTCGCGCGAGCGCCAAGAGTTCGCACCATCTCGCACCCTTTAGGGGCACCCACCAGCGAATCCCGGCTGTTGTATGTTTTTTTTTTTTTTTTTTTTT